TAGTTTTGTGAGGCTGAGTAATCCGGGTCTGTAGTTTTTCTCTCTGAGAAGAAAGTTGGTCGAATAACAAGATCGTATCTGGATGATTATGTGTATTGGTCTGCATGTGTATAAAATCAGTGATATTTGCTGTGTGAGAAAATCATTACTGAATATGCCGAATATGACGGGTTATTTTTATTTATGCTGTGCTTTCTGAAGAGAGGTTATGTTCAAAGATATAAATTTTGAAAACTGAGGAGAATTACGGGAAATCATCCGGTGCCCGCGTTGTGTGCAATTACTGTTAGCAACTGTAATGGCCTGTAATTCGACGGTGTACATAATTATTTCTTATCTCTCTCATTTTTGAAATTCAGGAAATTTGTACATGTAATTTCCAGAATGGATAAGAAAAAGTGGATGCGCAACTAACTTCTGGCTTTGAATCTCAATTAAGTGTATTTGAGACAAGAACCCAATGTAATTATCATCATCACATACAACTTACAGCTTAGACCTCCAGTAATGCCATCCCAGAAGCAGATTTTATATCACATCAGAGCCAAAGATTGATAACAAGCTTCATGACGTTTAGGCAACACCTACAACTAAGTGCTAGGTTAACATCTTGTTTATAAGATCGGTGACGTCATGAATCACCTGTTATATGTCACAGTTATCACCGCAAAATTATGGTATTTACCCAACTCAGAAGTAGTTTTACATTTCTGGTTGTTATCTGAAATGTGACAAGTTAGAATTTTGCCGGGTATTGGATATTTTTGTTGTACTTCAGCTTAATTTTTGGGAAACTTGATACAGGCTGACTTCAGTTGTAGGTTAAAGTGGAGCACCTTATTAGTTATACTGATACTGATTACTGTTGTTGTGGACACTTTAGATCTAGTTCCTATGCTTAACAAATTATACAAATTATCCGGTCTAGCCATATACCACAAGAATATTAAAATATGGCCATATAAACTCAGTGGATAGTGGCCACCTGTATAAGGTTTTGCTAATATCTTTTTTCATCGCTTTTTCCTCATTTCTGCTAAATCAATAAATGTTTTATTTGACATGCGGAAAAGTTTGGAGAATTGAAAGTTATCATAGCTACAAAGTCATCATAAAAAATTATTTTCTGAAAAAAAAACATTTCTCCGATTGATATTATGAAAGGTTTCTTTTTTAAACTTGACATACACTGTTGTAGACGAAAAAGCACCTTTTATTAAGTGATAATAAAAATAAAATTATACACGCGCTTTTCTAAAATAAAAAACTTGCAACAAAATCGCGGTTAAAACCACCGCGTTCAAGCGATTCGAGTAACTGACGTCATTTCACGTTTGCGCACTAGGATCGTTGTGAACGTCATTCTTGGTTGCATATGTTTTGTGAGGCCAAATGGACCTTGTCTGTAGTTTTTATCTCTGAGAAGAAAGCTGGTTGAATAGTAAGATCGCATCTGGATGATTGTGTGTATTGGTCTGCATGTGTATAAAATCAGTGATATTTGCTGTGTGAGAAACTCATTACTGAATATGCTGCCAATGAAGTATACCTATTGGCTGTGCCCGATGGGTTATTTTTATGTTGTGCTTTCTGAAGAGAGGTTATGATCAAAGTTATGAATTACGAGAAACTGAGGAGAATTACGGGAAATCATTACCGCGCCCGCGTTGTTTGTAATTACTGTTAGCATGTATATGGCCTGTAATTCGGCAGTGTACAGTGAATATAATTATTTCTTATCTCTCTCACTTTTGAAATTCAGCAAATTTGTATATGTAATTTCCAGAATTGATAAGAAAAAGTGGATGCCCAACTAATTTCTAGCTTTGAGTCTCAAGTGTATTTGAGACAAGAACCCAATGTAATTGTCATCAACACATACAACTTACAGCTTAGACCTCCAGTAATGCCATCTCAGAAGCAGATTTTACATCACATTAGAGTCAAGGTTTGATAACAAGCCTCATGGCGTTTAGGCAACACGTACAAGTAAGCGCTAAGTCAACATCTTGGCGAAAAACCTACATAATGTCAAAAGAACCAGCATAAGGTGCAAAAAATTCGACATAATGTCACTTTTCAAGATACGTGATACCCGTGCCGGCCACCCCTCCACAACCCCTTGACATGACGTCTCGAATTTTTTATCCGTATTTTCCGGACAAACCTCGTATATGACAGCTAGTATTCAGGCTAATAAAACCACATTTTTTTTCAAATGGTCTTTATTAATGTTTCAACTGCTTTGGCAACCTTCTTATTAATATACGAGTAGAACATATTAGAAATGTATTATCTGCTCTGATTTGTGTCACGCGACAATGTCGTATGTCGTATGGCGACGTCACCATGTTTCGTGACTATGGTCAACAGCGGGCGCTGAATGGCTGCTTGACATCTATACGGCTATTAAGTCATTAAGTCTGACGTCTTGTGGCAGTACTAAAGATCAAAGGCGCCCGGTATGGTCTAAAAATTCCGCGGTGAGGAAATCGCGTGCATGAGTGGGCTCTTTGTCAGTATTTCATGTGCAGATTTCGAAAATGTGTCCACCGTACCGAATCGTTCTCTGTACGTAACTAACTGCGCTAAGTGGCAACATCTCTACATCTGCACCTGCAATAGGGTTGTGATTTTTTTTAATTTCGATAGATTTGTGAAAAATCGACTTAGAGAGAGAAGAAATTTGTTTCTAAAATCTGAATTATTCTATCAGTCCACAAACTGCATGCTTTTATATAAAAAAATCATAATATCAACAGGCCAACATTAACAATTTATCAGAATGAAAAATAAGATGATGGGTATAAGAATAACAAAAACTATCATCATTTGGCTTCAAAACTAAAGCTTATTTTGAACTTTAAACAATAAAAGACCAAAAACAATGATTGCCGCAAATGTTCAGTTTCAGTGGCTAATAAGTATTACTCGATCTTGTGGTTTCAGCGGTCATTTTGAAATTTTTTTTTCTGGTGCATTGAATTCTTCTAGTCATGCAATCAATTTGATACTAATATTCAAAGGGGTTTATAAATAATATTTTGTAGCGACGGACATCTTTCTCAGAGTGTTTCAGTTTTTTATAGTGTATCAGTTTTTCATAGTGTATCCGCCATTGATACCGGGGATACATAAATGTATTGTCATCTGAACTAAAAAATATCTTTTGAGTGTTCTACCATTTAGAGACATTTTTACTATCACCCACGGATTACTGATTATACTCCTGAGAGGCAATCGTTTCCAAAAGCTATGAAAATATTTCACATACTTACACATAAATGGCGTCGTCTTTTATCGCTTTGTTCATGTTAGTGAACTGTGAACTTCGAGTTTTAGCATCTGTCGTACGTATGGCGCTGCTTACAGAATCGATTAAAATTGGTAATTTATAGAATCGGTCTATTAAAAGTCGATTACTATAATTAAGAAAATCGAGTGTGCAAAAATCGATTATAAGAAAAAATAATCTATTAATGGATAGATCGTTTATTTTTTAACATCCCTGATACACATTTTTGACATTTCCAATCTATTTTTAGGTATTGATGTCCGACTGCCAAACTATCGGAATCCTGATCGGCAGGGGTATTTCGTACAAAGCTTAAAAAACGTCAAAAAAAAGGACAAAATGTCATCTTACAGAATAGGTATTCTTTAGTGTGCAACTAGTTCATTCTGCGCTTGCTCGACATGATCGCTGTGAGCGTCATCAAAAGCGTCCACCTATGGAGGAACGACTCAACGACACGACACGCTCAAGCATGCATTGTTGGTTGCAGAGAGCCAAGTAGTGTTTATCTCTTAGAAGATGTGCGGCAGGGGTATTACGTAACTTGAAAAGTGACATTATATCGTTTTGTTTTTCTCGACATTATGACGGTTTTCCTACAAGACGCCAACTTGGATCTAGCTGTCGTCCACCTCAGCCCACTAAGTCAACAAGTTGACATTTTATCGGTTTTTTTGACATTATATAGTTTTTTTACGTAATAACCCTGCCAAATACTAGTCAAGGTAAGTCAAGTGGAAGGAGTAAGCCTACGATTTGTTTGTCTCCAAAGTCTCAGTTTCTAGTCAGTCAGTGCACGACTGGTATTGACATAAATTAATTCTTTGATAGTTCTGTCATTAAATTCGGATTCTTAGAGTTATTTTTTAAAAGTGTAGATAATTGTGGTGCTGGACGACTCTAGGACTTGCGTAATTTGCAAAGAGTGACATAAGCCGAATGAAGGTAGATCTTTCCACCGGTAAGTTTTATCATGTTGATACAACGTTGTCAGTTTGGTATGCAATAGTAGTCAAATCAGACAAAAGTTTGCACTAAAACTACTGAATTTTGGAGACAAACAATTCAATGTAAACACATGGGCTTCGCTCCCTCTAATATACTCGGCTTCGATGTACACAACTGAGATATACAGGGTGGTCCATCCATGTGTGGACGGAATATTACTCATAAACAAATACATTTTGGAAAAATCTGTATTTGGCATGTTATACATGACATTTGAGGGCACATGTCTAAAATATTGGCAGTTATACAGGGTGTCTCAATTTTGACCTACATATACAGTTGTGATTTTTTAAATGGAATGCCTCAAATTTTACTGCATATTTGGATAAGCTCATTCAAAAGAAGAAGATTGATATAACATACTATGGGGTTTTGGTAATTAGTTACTGAGATTTAAGGTGTTTTGTCCAGAAAAACCGTCCACTTCGGTAACCTCTTAATCCGCTATTTTGAAATTTGCAGGGCTGAATTTTGTATCAAAGAAAACTTACACACCTAAGCTTTTATCTTATTTGTTACTTTTTCGAAGTTTCATTTTTTATCATACGAAACGCGAATTGTACTTTTTCTCAAAAATTGCAAATGCATCACCCTGTATATTTGTACAAGTTTGGATTTAATTTTTTATGAGATTTTTTTTGATATAAGGTTTTTTTTTTGGCTTTAGGACCTAATCCATGCAGCCAGAAACTAGGTTGTTATATGTTACATTTCTAATTATGGACAAACACACGACGTCACAACATCCATGGCCAAGGCGAGATTCGAACTCGCGGCCCGGCCGACCGGCTGATCAGCAGCACGACACTCTGACCCACGCGGCCAACCGAGGTCCAAGATATAAGGTTTGATTCAGATAAACTCACTAGATTTTGAGTTATTAAGCTTTTAATAGAAAAACATCAAAATTAAGGAAAAAAATCACATCATTCATGGAAACAAAAGATAAACAGTGGGATAGTTCCATATTGCCACTAAGAGTACAGATTTTACGTAAAAACTAATAACAATCAGAACAGTATTCAGCTTCAAGCGTAATAGAGAAAGACTACTATAACAACAACATAAACAAACAACTATCACTACCCAAGACCTAATCTACAAAAACTGCTCGAAAATATTTCCACCATGTTGAATACACAGCCGTAGTCTTTGGATAAATGACCGTTGCGCATCCCTCAGCATGTGTTCCCTTATGTTCAGAAAATCATCCTTAATCCTTTCCTTTATATTTTCCGGGGTAGATGGTGGATATCTATAAACCTCTTGCTTAACGTAGCCCCATAGAAAGAAGTCTATCTGTGTCATATCTGGTGATCTAGAAGGCCAAGATATAAGGCGAGATGCTAGGAAACTATTTCATTGGGCTTCATTTCTTCTTTAGAAAAATTCATTTTCAAACACGTTTTTAATAATAATGCTCACAACGCTAATTTTGACAGTTTGTAACTAATCAACAATTTATTTGTTTCCAAGGATGATGCGATATTTTAGGGAATTGAGCCGTTCCATAAAAGACGTGCTAATAACCGAAAAAATAGCCGTAAAAACTCTTATGGGTCTAGTATCAAAAAAAAACTTATGAAAAATTGAATCCAAACTCGCACAAATATAAATTTTTGAGAAAAACTACAATGTGCTTTTTTGACCACCCTGAATGAGCAAAAATTAAAATTCGAAAAAGTAACAAATAAGATAAAAGCTGAGGTGTGTAAGTTTTTTTTTGGTAGAAAATTCAGCACTACAAATTTCAAAATGGCGGTCTGAGGGGTTGCCGAAGTGGGGGGTTTTTCTAGACAACGCCTTATATCTCAGTAGCTAATTACCAAAACCCCAGAGTATGTTATATCACTTTTATTCTTTTGAATTGGTTTATCCAAATATGCAATAAAATTTGAGGCATTCTATTTGAAAAATTACAACTTTGATATGTAGGTCGAAATTGGGACACCCAGTATAATGGCCAATATGGATGGGCGACCCTGTACAGTGCTTTTCAACATTTTTATTTTTATTTTTATTTTTAAAACGGGTCAAGTTAGAAAGCTGAAATTTGAGGCCATGAAACTGATGGATACTATATTTCAACGTAAAAATAATGCTTGAAAATCTGATTACCGCTTCATTCTTGAGCTCGGTAATTTATATCCACTGACTAAAAGTTTTAAATTTTTCAAAATGGTGAACTGACTGGCTGTCAAAGTCAAGCATACACTGAAACGCTTATTGTTCAACAACTAACCATTAAAAATTTATAGTATCTTATATCAATATCAAATGTGGGATATTTAGCTCAAAAAACATACACATTTTTGACATTTTTTATATATATCATACTATGATAATCAGATGATCCTAGCCGTCATCTTGAAGCATACATCCATCAATTTGATTGCTCTGCATATCAGATTGCAAATTTGACCCGTTCGATAAGCTAAGGCTGCTCCATTGCAGTGTGGACATACGAACTCTCAGTCGTGGTACAGTGGGCAAAACCATTAAGCTGGGAAGATGAAAAATAGTACATCCCCTTTCACCGACCCTGCTGCTGGTGCATAACCTTCAACTGTCTTCTCAAAATCTTTCCACTAGGCGTTTTTGGAATAGCGTCGACCACCTCTATGCCTCCCGACAGCCTTTTGTAGTTGGCCACCTTGCTAGCTACGAACTTATCCAGCTCGTCCGGTACCAAGGAGGTGTCTTTCTTTGGTACTACGTACGCCCTTGGTACTTCGCCGTGGTTGGGATGCGGGATTCCGATGACAGCTGCTTCTTCCACTGCCGGAAAGGCTCTTATTAGCTCTTCTAGCTCTGCGGGGGCTACTTGGAATCCTTTCACCTTCAACAAAATAGGTACTTAAGTATAACAAATACCAATGTTGATCGTCGAACATTGATATTTGCTGATGACTTAAAATTGTACTTTGGATTCAACAGCATTACTGATAACAGATTATTAGCTTCATTAATGACTGGTTGTGGGTATCTATCGTGTCAACTATCAAATCTCGAAAATTGGTGTTAGTTGATTGAACGGCATCTGAGTAACTGAATAACGTATGGTCCAAAGCAATAAAGATCAATTAATACTTATAACCTTGGAGGAAGTGTACATAAATTATCTGTATTGTCATGGTATAAACGGTTCGTGACTTGGATGTGACGTTCGACAGTAGGATGAGTTTTGAATGTCACATTTCTTAAATTATCAATAGCGTTAATAGAGCTCTAGGATTTATTGTTAGAAATTGTGAGGTTATTGAACATTCGTTCCATTTAAAATATGAGTCGCTAATTTGGAGTCCTTATACTACAACTGCTATATTAATCTAACTGAGCATGCTAAAAAGAAATTTCTCATATATACGGATTTTAAGACTGATTGAGTTTATCTTCACCGAGGGTCGGACTATTAAATCGTCTTGGAAAGATACCAAATTGCCTCTTTGAGTGAAGGAAGAAAACGAAACTCCGTGATTTTCCTGTATAAACTCAAGCATGGTAATGTAGTATCTTTAGACTTACTGTCGCAGCTCCAATTTGTAGCTCTCTAGGAGATGTTCTAGATACAATGCGTTATTTTTGTACCCGAGCAAACACAAACATGGCTTTAAAATCTCCTATAAGAGCTGTAATAACAAATTATCAATATATATTATATAAAGTATTTTTTTGTTTTCTTCCTGAACACAAGGAAGTCCTTCCGCAGCATCTTAAATAACTATGCATGAATTTAAGCATCTTAGTATTATTTGTTTCGCTGATTTTCATTTTTTTGTCCTATAGATGGAAATGTATTACTAGATATACTGTTGTGCAATAAATCCTATTATTATAATTATTATTATCATTATTATTATTATCATTATTAGAAATGAATTTGTAATCGCGTAAAGAGCGCTGGGCACGGAGATTGAGTGATAGAGTCTTTCAGCAGTCATTGGTCTTCACCCATAATGCTGGTCAAGAAAAAGAGGACAGGACAAGTTTCTGTGTAGACTACCGCGGACAAAAATGACAGCTACCTATTATTTTGAATGAGCGTCTTTTGGGAACTGCGCTTGGGTCACTTTAACAGGATTGAGACAATTTTCCACCATAGATTTGAATAGAAGAAAAAAAAAATCATTTAGTTGTTAATAAAGGGACCTAAACATTTAAAAATAGTATTTTCCGTTTGAAAATATTGTGTTTTGCTTTTTAACCTTTAAATAATATCGAAGTTTAAAAATAAAAGCGTGTTACGCCTTTTTTTCCCGCTTGCTGTTAAAGCGTAAGACGCTGTTATTTAAAAAACTCGAGACGAAGGAGCTTCAATATCGCTTGAATGTTAAGAAGTACAAAACGACATATTTCCAATCGGAAAAAGTTATTTTTAAATGTTTACTTCGTTTCATTAACAGCTAAATGGGAGATTCTTATTAAAAATGTCTTCTTTTTATTTATTTTTCACCTTTCAGTATTTATGTCAATGAATGAGTTTTAAAATTTCTATCAACTTATATGTTTTTGATTATAAAACTTCTTACTTATTTATATAAGATTTCGATCAGTAATCATGTATTACGTATATACGGGAGAGATACACATGTCTACCTCCTTTTTTAGACAGAAGCAGCGCGCAGGTAGACGCCGAAATGCCAGGGCACCGAAATTCCGTTTTTTTGTATTTATTTTATCTCATACATTTGTGTGGGGTGTGTCTGAATGGGTGAATGTACCATGTATATAGAAGGCGGGTTTGCACGCAACATGCATCTGACAAAAGCAGCACGTACTACGGTGTCTGCGTCCTCAAAGGATGTATAGTATTAGCTCATAGGCAGAGCGACAGAAGTAATAATAATAACCTTAATTTATTTCAGTGGACAGCCAGAGTATGGGAAACGTCGCAAATACAAATCTAAAGCATATACAGACATATTAATAAACAGAAAAATTAAAATAGGTATCACATATCCAAGAATTCCCTTATATCAAAATACAATCGATAGCAATGGTATTTGGATTTTTTTACACCGGAGCAGTCGCGCAGGCTGAATTTTGAACGCCAGGTCACCGTGGCTGCTATGAGGAGCTTAAAAAACTTTGACAAAGGAGCGGCCGTATCTGCCAGTTCTGGATGTACGAAGTTCGATACGGTTAGAATGGGAGGCCGAAGTCAGGCGGGTCTGTTTGGCAGGCTCATCCTTCTTCAATTTTCGAAGAAATAAAGCGTACCTATGTTCTAGCGGACACTTATGTAAAATAAAATTTGATATCTTAAAAATCTTCAAAGTTCTACAAAAATTTTAAGCTGGAACGGGATTCTCCCTGGCTTCCCCTGCGGATTTCCGTGCTTACAGTGATGTCATTTGACCAATGTTATAGAAACTTTCAGATGGTATCACGAACATTCTGCGCGATTCCGTTTCTTTCTTTTTCGTACATATTACCTTGTGATCATCCGTGATTATTCAATCTTACCTTAATAAGTTCCTTGAGTCTATCTGTTACGAATAAAAATCCATCCTCATTGTACCGAACTATATCACCAGTTCTAAGCCAACCGTCCAACATGGTCTCTTCAGTTTCCTTTGGTTTGTTGTGGTACCCTTTCATTATCTGTGGTCCTTTCAGTAGCAGTTCTCCCTGCTCATTGGGCCCTAGAGGCGGTCCTAGAAATATTTTGTTACATTGTTAGATACACGCCTTGAAAATATTTGAGAAAATACTACTACTAAATATAACTGTCAAACCTCAGCTCCCTGTCTATGATAACCCCTTAGGTAGATATTATTTAAATTTTATTAAAACTAATTACTCGGTGTCAAAGGACCAGGGTCCATAAGCAATTTTCCAGCAATGTTTAAAGCACACAGCACAGACAAAAGGAGAAAATGCTTAAGAGTAATAGAAAAAAAAACGGATTTTTAAAGAATAGAATTTTAAAATGAAATAATACAAGAAAGTCTGGAATCTAGAAGACAAGTTTTATGAGCAAATTGACATAACGTGACGAATGTTGACACTTCCACAGGAATTATATTATGGGGGGATGTTAACTGATCTTGGAGCCCAATTCGAATTGTCGACTCCGTAAATAACATTCTTACCGACATCATTTTTATCTCAATTTAGTTAAATATTGCACAGAGCGACCTTACTAAAAACACCTGCTCAAATGCTCAGATGGCTGTTTGCAAACATTTCTATCAAACCTTAGATTATCTGGCAATGGAAGATGTAAAATATATGTAGGGCACGCCATAAGTTTTGTGAAAAAACTAGGTGTATTTATTGTTTTTCAAAAACGGAGCTCCCGTTGATTCCTGGAGGCACCCACTAATCATGTGAGGCATGCAAAGGCAAGGTTGAGGATAATATTATTTAATTAATGTTGTAATGGGGTGCCATAAATTTCTTCATATTCCATACACTGTTTCCAATATCAGCTTCACGGTGTTTTCAGAATAGGAGAGGCTAAACCCTTTCATAAGAATATTTTAGGATTTTACCTCATTTATATTCAAACCTAAATATCTCAAAAACGAGTGATCTGACAAAAATTCCATAAGAGATAAAATTTATGAAAATTAGTGGAATTTTATTTAACTCTGTGTGTTTATTGCTGATGATGTGCCCACTGAACGTCCAAAATCTTACTCGGTATCGTTACCCGCTTCATAGATATAAATTTTTGTAAATCCGTAAATAAGGCTTCATCACCCTGTATCTCGGTAGAGGAGCATCTTTGGTCTCATATTTATAGGGAATTTTTCGTGATTTTTGGATGTAGTTTCTACCCTAAAAATATTGGCACGATTTTCTGAAACAACCTGTAGATTTTGTTCATCCGACCACAGACGGCCCAATCATTAACAGCTGTTTCGTGATGTTTGTTAACTTCTCAGCATAGTGTAGGCCTCGTCCTACTACCCCCACCTCACCCCTGTACAACCCCTCACATCTAAATTTTTTTACACCTAAAAATTTTTACAAAAATGATTAGGATCTTCTGAAATATCAAAAAACGAAGTTTGAGCGATTTTTACTGGACCGTTTATAAAAAACTTCAAAGCTTTTTTGATCCTGGCATAGTGGAACATTGTGCAAAGATTTCATCAAAATCCGAGCGGTACTTCGCGGTTCAAGATTAACAGACAAACAGACCGATGGATATTCAGACAGACGGACATAAGTGACATGGTTTTGGTGATGTACGTGTCATAAATAACATCCAAAAAACAATATCTCATTTTAGAAAAATTTTAAGGAGGGTCTTGTATGTAACATTTTTTCCTCGAGGGCTTCATTAAATAGATGAAGTTTAAAAATAAAAATAATTTTTTTTAATATCTTCAAAACCGTTAACTGGAATGAACTAAAATTTGGTATGTGGATTGTTCACATCAAAAAGTATTTACTTAGATTAACATGTACCAGTGGCGGAGATACAGGGGATCAGTTGCATTATTTTTCCAAATAAAAATAGTACGCCACTGGTTTTTTCGAAACGTGCAATTTGACCTTCAATTTGCTACAAATAATTACTTTTTTGTTTTTTCTAGAGTGCATTGTTTTCGTAAAAATAAAAAAAACAAATTAGTAAAAGTTGGCGTCTGTTTAGGAAATGTACGTTGATACTCCCGAGAAGCCGCTAAGGCATTTACATTACAGAACCCGTACACAAAAATAATATCGGCGTACTTATCATTGCTAAATTCCATTTCACAACACTCAAAAATGGGAAAAAAGACTTAAAAAATGGTTGTAGTAACGATCAAAACCATATAACAAATAACTTTGACAAACTATGTTCCAAAAAACGTCAAGTTGGTTTCAAGGCCTCCTATTTTATTTTGAAACTAATTGTATCTCGGTTCTTTATGAATGATCTAATTCCTTTTATTTTTATTTTTACGAAAACAGTGCACTCTAGGAAAAAACACAAGACTCATTGTTTGTAGCGAATTGAAGGTAAAATTGGAAAAATAACGCGTTTCGAAAAAAAAAAAAAACAGTGGTGTACTATTTTTATTTGAAAAAATAATGCCACTAATCCCGTGTATCTCCGCCACTGGTGCACGTTAAATTTAAGTACAGACTTTTGAAGATGGATAATACTTGTGTAAATCCACATGCCACATTTTAGTTCATTTCAGTTGACGGTTTTGAAGATATTAAAAAAATTGTTTCTTATTTTTAAACTTTTTCTTTTTATCTTATTTCGAGGAAAAATGTTAGATAGAGACCTCCCTTAAAATTCGGTCCTGTGTATGAATTTTTGGTGAATCACCCTGTATAAGTCAGCTTCAAGGTACTTTGTTAATGTTAATGTAAGTACTATATAAGTTCTAAAAGATTGAAATTTCGAATTACTTAGACAGTATATTACTTAATAATTATGGGGAAAACCCGAAAAACTTTTATGTACGTACATTGTTTTAGCAGAAAATAGGGTTACTGATATACGTATCTATAACTTGAGCCAAATAACCATTTTAATCATATTTCTCATGTTTGCACTTAAATATTGAATTTCGGGCAACGCGGAGAATGCCTGTAACCTTATCTTTGTAGGTATTGAATTTATATTCGATATTTTGGTGCACATATCACATAAATATGGAAATAAAAAAAATCAAGGTTACTGTTACTGTTTAAAGCAGCGTTCCCACGAGTCGATTTTAATAGAACGATTTTTGTTGATCAACAAAAATCGAGTAAAAATATACTTGTGAACCGCGTTTTCGATTTTAGTTGATCAATTTTAGTTGAACCGAAAAAGTTTGATCCATTCAAAACTTATCGATCAATTGAATGCGTCATAGGCGATTTTCAGACAAGTTGCAACGTATTTGAAGCGTGTGAACTGTAGTCAGTCGAGTTTCGCATTGAATAAAGTTGATTTTGTGGCTCGTGTGCTTGTTGTGTGTGGAAAAAAAGACAAAAAATGAGCATGAAGTGGTCTGAAAGTATTGTGCTAAATTTTTTGCATTTATATCAACAGCATGACTGTTTATGGAATACCCTGAGAGTTATCGAAACAAGGATGCTCGAGACAACGCTTTAACTATCATCGCAAAAGATAGATCTTCTCATAATGGAACCTTGTTTTTGTATTTTGCTTTTTATCTTTAGAAGAAGTCCTTGAAATTGTTCTTCGGACATTCTCAAATGATTTTTGTAGGCATCCTTGTCTTTTAAAGCCAGCTCCTTGAGCAGTGTTCCTGAAACGCCTCAAAACCGACTTTTTCTAGATTTTCTATCAAATTTCGACAAAATGCCTCCGATTTCTTCATTTAATAATTCGTAAATAGCTGCTATGCCTGCTTGGACAACTTCTTTGGCAGCCATTTTAAAAACAACTAGCGCATCAGTTTTTATTATGTGTGTGAACAAACATTCGTTTCGATTTAAGTTGATCAACTAAAATCGACTCGTGAGAACCTTGCTTTAGAAATGATCCATTCAAATGCCCTCCATCGAGTAATACTTGCAAAAACCACGCAACTTTAAAACCATTTTGAAAAATAGACCTTAGTGTTTTTTGAAATGGCCGGTTTCTGATTGTATCCCGTCAAAGCCTACTCATGTATGTACCCACTATGCTGTTTACAGTGTTTGCGCTAACCAACATTTATCCCGAATCCATCCAAATTCAGCGTATACCAAACAGCGCGTATGAAATTTCCACGAACTAATTATATTAGCGCACAAGAGTGGGAATCTCAATTTATCAGCGATTGTCGAGCTGGAACAAGTAATATTTGATTACGTTGCTCGTGTTATAGACAAGGCAGGAAATCTGAAAAGACGCCTAGCAACTGCCAATGAATAGACTTTCCAAGTGTTCATGTACAGGGTCCGCCATTGAAACGATAAGACTTTGTAAGAAGTTTATTGTTAAAGAATATTATTTTTAATAAGTTTTAGTACATCAGCGGAAATAAGGGAGCTAGCTATTGGGTTATAACAATGCCCAAAAATTATCTCTTGAATACAACATCTACTATCAGGTAACCCAATAAGTTCGTGCGGTTGCGCACATTGGATGTTGTTGATCGATAGCGATTGTTTGTTACCTGTTGTCACTTTATCCTTCTTTTATCATAACCCGCAGAAATGTTCAGTGTGAGCCCTGAAACTATTCGTTTACATCTTCATCAGCTAGGAAAGGCGTGGAAGTTAAGCAAATGGGTCCCACATGAACTGACAAATGATAACAAATCAAGTCACCTTACCATTTGTTCAGCAAACATTTCACGCAACGCTAATGAACCAATTCTTAATTGGTTATTAACCTGCGACGAAAAATGGATCTTGTATTCGAATTCTAAGCGTTCGTATCATTGGTTGTCGCCTACTGATTCGGTACCACACACGCCCAAGGCTTCCTTGCACCCAAACAAGGTTTTGTTGTGTGTTTGGTGGACAGCAACTGGAATTGTCCATTATGAGTTTTTTTAAGAGGGTCAAACCATCACTGCTAAATTGTATTGTGAGCAGCTTTAACGGCTAACCCAAAACCGTAAAAATATACGTGGTCCGGTGATATAGCTTTCGTTTGTCACACCACAGTTGTTTCATGCTATTTGGCAACTCTTCAGTAAACTATAGGCTTGGTCTCGGTAGACATCAAACGGGAGCTCAGCAACTGTACTCTATTTAGACTATAAGGTTTATCGAAGTAAGACAGCCCAAAGTGCCATCTAGTACCAGAACCAATCACCACGGAAGTGTATACATCTAGCTGACTGTTGATACTGTATAACAGTCGCATTGTCGACCGAGTCATCATTGTGGCCGCTAGATGCCATCGATTCTGGATCTATTTTATCAGGTAACCAAATAAGTTCGTGCAGTTGCTGTATATCGCACATTGCCATGGATGTTTTTGATCGATAGCGATTATTTGTTACCTGTGGTCACTTCAGTATGAGTCCTTCTTTTCTCACACACATAAAAATTGTTACATACCTAGTTTTAATAATTGAAAATGGCGACGAATAAAACAATAATTCGAAGTTGTTTACTGTATGAGTACAAACTTGGTACAAACGCTGCAGCGGCGGCGCGAAAAATATGTACCTCATTCGGAGATGATGCCGTTAGTGATCGAACACCACAGAAGTGGTTCAAAAAGTTTTCTTTTGGAGATCTCAGTTTGAGCGATGAACCGCGCCCAGGGAGGCCAAAGATCATGAAAAACGAGGATCTTCGACAGGTTGTGGACGCAAATTCCAGGTCAACGTGAAAAGACCTTGCAGACGTGTTCAGAGTGAGTCCTGAAACTATTAGTTTGCATCTTCATCAGCTAGGAAAGACGTGGAAGTTAAGCAAATGGGTCCCACATGAACTGACAAATGATAACAAATTAAGTCGTCTTACCATTTCTTCAGCAAACATTTCACGCAACGCTAATGAACCATTTCTTAAACGGTTATTAACCTGCGGGGAAAATGGATCTTGTATTCAAATTCTAGGCGTTCGTATCATTGGTTGTCGCCTACTGATTCGGTATCACACACGCCCAAGGCTTCCTAGCACACAAACAAGATTTTGGTGGACAGCAACTGGAATTGTCCATTATGAGTTTTTGGAAGAGGGTCAAACCATCACTGCTAAATTGTATTGTGAGCAGCTTTAACGAGTAGAAACACTACTCATCCAGAAACAGCCTTCTTTGATCAATCGGAAGAAAGTGATATTCTTGCAGGATAACGCCAAGCCTCATACCGCAAAAGTGACCCGACAAAAAATTTCTGAACTCGGCTGGGAAACGTTACCACACCCGCCATATTCGCCCAGTGATTATGACATTTTTTTTGTCTCTTGACAACTGTATGAGGCACCGACGGTTCACAACTCGAGAGAAATGCAGTCCGCCAATTTTTTGGCTCCAAATCCAGGGAGTTCTACAATACCTGCATACAAAAATTGGTTCCACGTTGGCAAAACGTAATTGAATGTGATGGTAATTACTTCGACTAATAAATAGTGTCTTATTGTTTCTCAATAAAAATTTATATGTTTCTACTAAAAACCGCACGAACTTATTTGGTTACTTGATAAATGTCCTCCGCCGACATTTATGCAAGCATTTATGCATGTAAGATTTGTACCCTGCATAATTAAGAAATCGTTTTTTTTAAGTTTATTCTATAGCTGGGGGTGCTGCTGCTGAAATTGTATAGAACGTATTATAATTTAGTGATAACTATATAGAATTATGTCGCTGCGCAATAAGAAAAATAGAAAAATAATATAATAAACTTACATTTTCGAAAATGTACAAAGCAATGGAAATAATGTTCATTGAATATGAGCATACACCTAGACACCACCTTACAAATGTTAAGTAATTTAAACAAACGTACATACTAAAGCAACATTTGCAACTTGAATTGTGATTTTCAGGTCGATAACCTCCATATTTCTCTAGCAAATCGAAACAACATGCGTTGCGAAAATCTTCTTTATTATAATCGTATCGGTCACAACGGTGACCTTATTCTGTACAATGCCTTTATATATTTGAATATATTTCATTTATCAGCATTGAAGATAAAATTTGTTTCACGAACATCTGCGGGATTAACAGCAACATTGACGCTGTTCATCACTACTTGCAATCCAAACGTCCCGCCATGCTTTTCTTGGCGGAGACAAAAATCTCAGAGTCGGCACCGATTAACCATCTTGGCTTCCCAAATTACGAGGTGCACTCCAATCTGAGAAAGAACAGCAGTATTTTCTGCTCCAGAGATGTCTTTGGAAGCAGATCGGAATGACATTCTGTGGCTTCGCCTCAACTCCAAACCTTCCCTAAATTTGTTTGTTGCCTTTATCGCTCTCCTTAAGATCATAACTGGGATGGCTTACTTGAATACCTCGCCGTCAAGATCGACTTACTGAACGACAGGCAGTATGGTTTCTGGCACCAATGATCCACAGGGGACCTCCTAGCTTACGTCACGCAATTGTGGAGTAAACTCATCCACTCTTATGGTGCTCTTGACATGATGAAAGCGTTCGATCACTTGTGGCACGCTGCTCTCTTAAGCAAACTTCCAACCTATGGACTACCAAAAAAATTTTGAGAAGAGAGACTTTATCTCTGGCTGCAAGATATCCATCGTAATTCACGGATTCTCCGCTTCATCCCACAACAACGCGGGTGTTCCTCAAGGATCGTCTTGGCTCCGACACTGTTCCTCTTACATATCAACCACCTCCTTTTCTGCACGATCAACCCAATCCACAGCTTTGCTGATGACAGCACTCTACATGCAGGAATTCAGAGTGACAAGCCGATCTCTGCCGCTGAGCTGGAAAAAAGTAGGCTAGCGACAACTTCATCTCTGACGAGACACCTGGAGGTTATCACTGCTTGGGGACGCAATAATCTTATACAGTTTAATGCTTCCAAAACACAGTACTATACCTTGACGAACAAAAAGCGTCCTAGTGCTCATCCGGTTTCGATGGAGGACCGAGTTCTGCCAAAGAGCCATTCATTTCAGCTGGTCGGAGTCCAGATAGCCGAGGACTTGATCTGGCACGAACACATCTCGTCAATAGTGACTGCTGCTGGGAAAAAGCTGGACTATTTGTTTAGGGCTAAGAAGTACTTTTCTTTACATGATCTTATCGCTCTATACAAGGCCCAGATAAGGCCTAGTTTCACGTATTGCTCACACGTTTGGGGTGCTGCCGTCCCGACTACATTACTTATGCTCGATGCTGTCCAGAGTAGGGCTGTCCGACTGATCGATGACTCTTCTCTAACAGACAGTATCGGGACCCCTTCGCACCGGCGCGCCATCGGCGATCTAGCTCTCTTCTACCGCTACACCAACGGGCTTTGCTCCTCAGAGCTCTCTTCCATGATGCGGCCGCACGTTGTGCCTGCCAGACAGACCCGCCTGACTTTGGTCTCCCCTCAAACTTTGTACATCCAGAACTAGCCGATACGACCGCTCCTTTATCCCGAGGGTGTCGAGATTGTGGAACAATCTACAAAAGGAAGCTTTTTCCAGAACTAACCTTAGGCAGTTCAAAAATCGGATCAACAAAATTTCTTTAAGATCATCATAGCAGCCGCGGTGTCCCGGCATTTAGACTTTTGCCTGCGCGACTGCTTCGGTATATAAAAAAAATCTGTCTTCCTGGTCCCACTTCGTTTTACAAGCCAGCATGAGGCTATGTAAGGACCGTAAAGAAACACAAAAATGAACTCGGAAATTAACCTTGTAAAGAGTTAGAGTGATTGGTTCCGCTTTTGTGTCATAAAAGGCGTTAGTATCTGTCAGATTCATGTTTTGAACGCCGAAATACACTATATAGTAGAATATCTTAATCAATGATGCTATTTTTTCAAGATTTAGTGGTCTGAATGGTTCTTAGGCGTCTTTTCAGATTTAGTGCCCTGTCTAAAGTACCTGTGGGATCGTCTAGGCTTATAACTTTGGCCCGAGTGTTCGGCAGGAGTTTCCCGATGGATCCTGTAACAGGCTGGGAAGTTTCTTCGGCATACTTCTTGGGGAATAACGTAACTAATGGGGAAGTTTCCGTTAGGCCGTAACCTGAAAAGTGGATTATAATTCATAGAAGCTGAGCATTCTCACATTTTGCATGAAAGGAAAATATATATACACACTACGAATAGTAGGGTCACTCTGCAGACAAACGAGTTTCTCGTACGTCAACGCCATTAGTAGGCAATTTTAACAGAATTGAAACGTGTGAGAGTGGCATCATGTAGAAACACTCAGGCTGACAATTCCGATTGCAAAACTCGCACTTGACATTACGCTGTACAGTGGTTCACGAAGCAAAAAACCTGGACAAGAGTCTACAAAAAAATTCTTTTGGTTTGGCTTCAGATTTTGTTCGTAGCTATTGGGATGCATACTTCATCTTTTAATAACACTAGTTTCATTTAAAATAAATGGATCTGCATGCGGAATTACAGCGAAGTAAATGTGTATCGCATCAAATGTCAAAGTGGCAAGAAGCTCGTGACCAAAAATTGAAAATCGAATACTGTCATGTTTTAAAAGAACTAGCTGTTGAGATGAGACAAAACGGATCGAGGAGTGGTACAGCATGATGTACAATAATGATATGGAATTGTATCTATCAAATGAAAAAACTCAATAACTGAAAACGGAAACGAGTGAAGTAACAAATGAAAATCAACGAATATGCGATGAATTTTTTTACAAATGTGTGAGAAAATTAGTAAATAATATAAAAAGCGATTCTAATAAATTCAAGTTACATGGAAAAAGATTAGTAAGCTCATTTTTTAACACTATTATGTCCCTGAAAAATAAGAAAAGCCCAGGATCTGATCAGATAAGAGCTGAACATCTGAAGATGATGGCCAAACAAATATTAGAACCATTTGCTTGTGTTATAAATAAATGTCTACGGTCTGAAATATTTGCCTTAGCTTTTAAATAAGCTGTTATCATTAAAATCTATAAATCAGGCGATATATGGAGGTTACGAATTATCCACCAATATCACTCATATCGACTTTGGCTAAGGCCCGTATCGTCAGTCGTCCTTACAATTGTAGGGCGCGTTTATGGCCTCCTTGATTGCCATACTCCTTTCTCTCCTTCAAAAATTTTCTAGATTACACTTGTCCCGTGTCAGCGTCAGCGCTCTCCTATTGTGAAGGTATGTTTTCTTTTTAAATTTTAGGAAATTTCAGGCTGATAAAACATGATATAACTCAAAAGCAAGCACAATTTGATGCAAATAGATGTTTGTGACGTAATTGTAGGGACGACTGACGATATGGGCCTAAGGTATTCGAAAAATTACTCTCTAGTAAGATGATAATTTTCCTTGATAAATTCAAAATTCTAGGTCCAAACCAATAAGGCTTTGTAAAATCTACCACATATGGTATACTAAGTCTTTTGAATCAAATCACCCAAAACCTTGACGAGAAAATTCCATCTATTTGTGTATTTGACGATCTGAAAAAGACATTCGATACAGTTAATCATAGTTTACTGTTAAATATTTTAGACAAACTAGGTTTTCGTGGTTAAATATATTCTTTGATGCAAAGTTATTTATCAAAAAGGCCCCAAGTAGTGAAACTATCAAAATCATACAGTAAGGAAATGTTTGTCAAATGGGGTGTACCTCAGGGTACAGTGTTAGGCCCTCTTTTATTTAATATCTATTTGAATGATACATTCAATATTAAATGTAAAATAGTTAGTTTTGCTGATGACGTAAAGAGGATAATTGAAAATAACTTTTATAAAATCATTCATTTTTTCAACACTAGAAAATTAACAGTGAACTTTGGAAAAACGCATCTTCTATCATTTATGTCATACGCGGGACATCTACCCAATTATGCAAATATTTCCTTCATAATGAACAATGCAAATTTAAAAATTGAGTGGATAATATCAAATATTTATTTGTTACATAAAAAATGGAATTCCGAACATGCAACAGAGTAAACTGGAGTGAGGCGAGTGTGTCTGACCCTGAGCGTTAATCGAACGCGACTATTATACATATAGTAATTGGCAAAGAACATTGAGAGCATACGAAACTCAAAATTGAGCGCAATATAAACATGTTTTGGCATACCTATCTACCCGCCAAATCGGATCCGTCTTTCTGATTATTGGAGCATCGATACTAAATACATTATTAGCGACCCTTAAAATCTATAGAGTTCAAATTCGTGGACAATTGTAACATATTTTGCAAATATGCCCGCTATTTTGGAATCGCAATTTTGACTGATATCTAATTCGTTACCAGCGACCTCAAAAGCATCTGAAATTCGAATTTTACATGTACAATTCAAAATTTTTTTTTTCAAATACGTCAGCGATGGCGGATCCACCATTTTGACTTTTGACAAACGAATATCATATTCATTTTCCGTGACGTCGAAAACATGTAGATGAAGTCTTGCTAGGTCATGCTGATTTATGAACTTTTGTGCGTTGTTTAGATAGTCCACACGACGCTGGCGTGAACGTTTTGACGATCATTGACTGAGTCACCGTAACCTGCATTTCGCTAGCATGGTTTGGGAATTGCGGATTTGTAGGTTTTACGAAGGATACTTTTGGGACAAGATGTGATGGAGGAAACATAAGTATAAAGATCGCATTTAGTTACTTATCTTGACAATCTATTTAGGTATATTTTCTGCAGTGTCGAGTATCGGCTACGGGCTGCCGACTGAATAAAGGTTATACTCGGAATATCCCTACTGCGAATATTGCCTTGCGAGGTTGCCTGACGAGCCAGAAATAATCATGCAACCTATTCAAATGGCATTGACTCAATCCTGGAGCTATTCTGTTGTTTTACTAAAGGATTCATCAAGTCAAGGAGCTTGATATTTTTATACACTACACTACTGGACTTGAACGTCAATGCTTGACTCGAATTGATTCTTTTAATTGTCATACTTGAGTTCAACCATTTTCAAATTACTTGACACTTGATGGCATATTATATATTTGTTCTACTAAAGATTACCTTTAGTGATATTTATTTGTACAACTGATGAGCCGAATTTTGTATTTCAATGCGAATAATCAGTGGTGAGAGTGGTGAAAAAGTCATGAAAATATATTCTCAAATGTAGTTTCAATAGCAATAGCTTTTTGTCGACACCTGCAACATCAGCTCCTATTGACAGGAACTTTCTATGGCTGCACTGACGGTTAGGAAACCCCGTTAAACCACTGTGTCCTAACATGCGGTTAGGGAATGGAATTCAGAATTTTTTATTTTTTTTTATCAGCTGATGAATCTTCTTCCTATTTGGGTTTAAAGTTTTGTCCTCGTATTGTTTGTTTTATGACATATTACGACATATTATTTTGTTCAATATGTATTGTTTTCTCTGTAACTTGTGACAGTCTTTCCATTATGTATTTATAGTCTATTCGTGTTGTATTATAAAAATTATCAAATAATATCAAGACTACATACATTTTCAAGTAGTTGACGTAAAAACTGCTTGACCTGATTTAAATTGCTAATATCTAGCTTTTGGTATGGATACCGTTGCTTAGGTCCACCCTGTATGTAAGCAAATGGATAATTGATTTTCCGCATAATTCTAGTTATTCCATCTAACTTTTCTCAATTTTCTATGCGTAATACTAAAATTATAAATAAATACTAGAAGGGCTGCCGATTTTGGATTCGTTAACATACATCGGATATTTTGTGGCGAGGCACATACTCATAATCTATTCAGAAAATTTCGCCTCACTCCTCTACTAATTGCTTTCTTCCTGTCATGTTGAGCTTAAGAGCTGAATGTATAAAATGACATTTTGGTGGTTGTTTTACAATACTGTATTACATTTTGCCATGATACATTACATACCTTGCGTAATTGATATTGTATCTCCAAATTTTTCCTGGAAGTGCTGTTCATCCAAGGAACCTAATGGAGCTGCAGCTGATAATATAAACTTTACATTCTTCATGTACTCAGCTCGAACATCGGGGTGTTGGATCATAAATAGTACTGTGTGTAAATATGAATGTAGTATTATTAGTCAATAGCTTTTGTAAAGAAAATGTAAATAAAAAATATAAATATAAAGCACCTCTTGTTACTGAGCTAAATCGTTTTATATTTCGCGTAGGGCCCTAAGATTTAAATAGCCATCGGATGTTATATCTACATATTATCACAAGATCTCCACAAGGACAATCACCTCCAAAATAGAGAAGTTAAACAAGCACTCCATTGTCTGGCCGAATGAAACCACATATTTATTGTGGTGGGTAGTATAGACAGAGAGATCGTTACATATCCGAACATAAAAAAGATCTAAATTAATTTTTTAGGGATAGGGTCTTAATACGCCAGATCTTTAACATTACGTATCTTAGAGACCATTAAACGGATTTGGTTGACATTTTGCACTACAACCAAGATTTTTCCTTCTTTTTTGATTTTATCAAAATCTACACCTAATATCCGTTATTATTCGTGAGAGCGGTCCGGTGTAGTAAACATGTTTAAGGGGAAAAGAGAAAGAAGGAAAGAAATGAAGGAAAAAATAGAGCAAAGAAAAGTAAATCATTTGAAATAGCTTAAGTATTATTGCTTTGACTACTCGAATTATTTTGTAACTCCAAAAAATAATTTTTATCGGTTTTGTATACTGAAATAATTTTGGGTGATCTGAATTTACAATTTAATTTTGATCACAGTGCGAGGCGCGGCCTGGAATGTTCGCGAACTTGCTCGACTGTGTAGTTTACTGAATCACGCAACAGAGGGTTGCGCTTATAACATATTGGCTGAGCCTTTTTTGCTTTTTTAGTCAAACATTTTCATGTAGGTATCCAAATATATTGTCCTAAACAACTAGTGTGACAAGAATCACAATGTCAAAGGTTATCAATTCGGTTTCATCGCAATTTTACAAAATAATGCTTAATATTGACCTGGTGTTTTGGGTTTTTCTATTTCTTTGTATTTTAACAAGTACAACGTCTGTGACTTATACCCTGAATTTAAAATTATTTCGCAATACAATGAGCAATACATGATATAACTGAGATAAAAAGCTAATGTTACTCACCTTATTGTTTTTCAGCAATTTTTAGTGATTTTACTCTACCAACTGGTGTTATACGACATAAGTGCTGTTATAAAAAATATATGAGATTTAACATGCAAATGCACTAAATTTGACTTTTCAGAAAGAGTCGAAATTCTGACGAAAATATAGAAAAACCCAATATACAGATCCGGACTTTCAGCATAGTTACGTTTAAGTGCTCTCACCTCAACCCTACGTTAGTTTCAGTTACATACTGCACACGTTGTAGGTACATCAACCAACTGAATGCCGAGTCCGGACCTGCATACTACGTTTTTGTGGAATTTGAACTTAGTTTCAAGTTAGCCTGAAAGGTACAATTTAGTAGAATTGCATATTAAATGCCGTTTTTACCTTTAAAGCAAAATTTCAACGAAATAGATTCTTTAGTAGCTAAGAGAGGTGATATTAAAGATCTGACCTGTTTAGATACATCCGTAAAAACTGAATTTAGAACTTTTTTATTTTTAGATGCGAAAAGACCTTGGTCCATTCTACCTACCATTTTACTATGCCAGATTGTTATGGTTTTTCTTTTTAGTATACGACGGCCACCACAGTATGATGGACGAGGGTGACGTGTCTGACACATTAAGAAAATGACAGATAACATTATGCTCGCTGGTCGCTTTGGAGGGCTGGACGTCCTTTTGAGAGCGGGAATGCTTACCACAGAAGGGCTTGACTGGTTTTACGCGGTGACACCTTATAATTTGAATGATGGCTTCTCGCGATCTCGACACGCTACAGGACCATTCTCTATTGTCGCAACACACTGTACAGGAATGACGAGCGAGAAGAAAAAATTATTGAACTATCATCTGGAAGTTAGATAAGCAAAATATACTGCAATGATCGACATCGTACTTGACCAAAACGTTGAACCATAAATCGAAATTTAAACATATATGTGATTTGATTTACCCAGACAATGGAGTCACGCCAACCTGAAAACCACATAATAAGTTTCAGGAGTTACATTAACCCCTAGTACGGTCATGAGTATTACCTAAAGGTGGGGCAGCATATATTGCGGTTATAGCATGTTGTTTCAACACAGAAATATACAGTTCTGGATGAAACCTCGGTATGGTTACCACTTTAGTTCCGTAGGTCGCTACATTTAGCAGGTTCACCATGAAACCATAAATGTGGAACATAGGCAGTACTGCTGATATTACCTCTTGAAAATTACCTGAAATTAAACAGAGAACGCTGAACTCCTTGAGCAAAAGCGTAAATGTTACGAAATAAAAACACAACTGGATTCCAAAACTCTTACAATCATAAATGCATCTTATTATACAGGGTGGCGCATCGAAAACGAAACAGACGCATTTACTGGCAGCTCAGTTTTGTTTTGAAAAACGCTCAGACCCGTCGATTTTGTTTTCGAGGGGGACACAAGTTTGGCAAAAAATCACGTTAGCACGTGCAGCACCCCCAAAATCTTAAATGGAAAGGGGGTCGAGTCCTTATTTTAAAGGTCTTCCAATTCCCTTTATAATGATATAAATTAATGTACTTCAGTTCAGTAGTTTTGAAGATTTATTGACTTAAAGCTTAAATAAAACTAATACATCATTAGTGAAGATCAATACATTTGGCAGCAAAGTAATTTAAAAATGAAGAATGAACTAACCCGTTAGGCAAGCTAATGTTGAAAATGGCCACCATGACTCTCCATGCAATAATAAAGATTTTGCTCAAAACGTTGCCGCACATTTTGCAATATTTGAAGAGAAATTTGAAGGCATTCATTCACAATTCTTTGTCGCAGGTCTTCTAATGATGTTGTCTGAGTAGCATAGATTTTGCTTTTTAAATGACCCCACATAAATAAATCAAAAGATGATAAATCTGGCGATCTTGGGGGCCATTTAGTGGCACCTCTTCTACCAATCCATCGATCTGGAAACGTCTGATCTAAATATTGTCGAACACGTAATGCGTAATGTGGTGGGGCACCATCCTGTTGGAACATCAACCTATTCGCAATGTACCGCCGATCATTCTGATTTTCAATTATGGCTGTTAATGCAGGATCTATGGCGTCTTTCAGTTAATTCCAAATACATTTCACCGGTCAAATTTCAAGGTAACAAAAAAGGACCAACTAAATGATCGCCAAAAATACCAGCCCAAACATTTAATTTTTGTGGCTGCTGTGTATGATTCTCATGATAAATTCTGGGATTAGAATCGGACCAATATCGGCAGTTATGACGATTTACTACGCTATTTAAGAAAAAGGAACATTCGTCGGAAAAGCAAGTGTTGAATAGAGAATTTTCATCGTTTATAAGTCGTTCACTCATATCTTCACAAAATTGTAATCGCCGATCAAAATCGTCTTAAGTTCTTGTACCAGGTGAATTTTATACGGAGGAAAACTGTGGGCCTTTAGAATTCGTTGGACAGTATGTCGACTAACACCACACACAGTCTCCAATTTGCGGGTACTTAACGTAGGATCTACATAAACTTGCCCTAAAACCCTCACTTCTATTGCTTCGTTCCTTATGGGATTTTCAATGTTGCGTTTTTTATTGGCGACTGACCCAGTTTCCAGAAATTTAGCTACAGGTTCTAGAACATATTTTCGATGCACGTTACTGTTCTCATGTCGCTCATTAAATATTTCTGCTGTTCTATTAGTGTACTGATTATTTCCGAACAATATTTCGATAACTTCGTGTCTTTCTGCTGTGAAATATACCATGGTTAATTTATGTAATAAAGCGTTACAAGTTATTTTAGCAACAAAGTTTGGTCAAATCAATCGCAAAATATGTGCTAAACTCCTATATAAAATAAGTACGAGAAATTTCCTTATCTTTCTTCGAGAAATAGCTATTTTCAACAACAAAATGATAAACAAACCATGGGCGTAGTGAAGAAAAGCATTTATTTATTAAGTAAATTCTTTTAGTGAAATTTCTTCTGAAAGTAGTACAAACTAAACTGATGTACCCATTAAAGTCTACTTTAAGCTTTAAATCAATAAATCTTCAAAACTACTGAACTAAAATACATTAATTTTATATCATTATAAAGGGAATTGAAAGACCTTTAAAATGAGGTATTACTGGATCCTCCTTTCCATTTAAGATTTTAGGGTTAGTGTCACCCCCGCCCAGGGGGCTGCACGTGTTAACGTGATTTTCTGCCAAACTTCCTCCTCGAAAACAAAATCGACGGCTCTGAGCGTTTTTCAAAAAAAAAACTGAGCTTCCAGTAAATGCGTCTGTTTCGTTTTCGATGCGCCATCCTGTATAAGAGAGAATGTGCAAATATCATTCATGAAAAATACGTGAATAATACATGTTGAAACATCATGGAAGTACGGTGGCATTTTTTTATTTTATCTAACGCTGACTTTATTGAAATTAATAAATAGAAGTTAATAGTTATTCAAAACAGAACGTACTATTATCAATGAATCAGCAAGTAAGCATCAGTGACGTCACTCCTCTAGATGGCAAAATATTTACTGCTAAGGTAAACTATTATGGCAGCTGCGATAAATGTCAGGCGATTGACTGATTCGTGTGCCTAATGCAGAAACTCGCCCAGGCCGCAAAATTTGGTATTACGGACCTGATACCCTTTCACCTTTCCTTGGTGATATGTTTGTATCCCTAACTCGGATGCGTCGGCTGTCTGTTCGTCCATAACCGAAATTATCCATGTTGGGATAGAGAAATACATCCCTTATCCAGCGGAAGTGGCTAAACCAAGGTCCAACGACTGGATCAAGAAATCGTGTGACACCGCCAGTTTTGTCAAAGATCGAGGCACACAGAACCTTCTTACAAAACCCCACTGTCGAGGACAGACAAGACAATGTCGAGTCCAGAAACAAATATAATGAAGTGGATCGCTATGCCAAAGACCAGTGCGATCAGTGTTTCCACAACGCTGAGATCAATTTACAGTCCTTCGCTATGTAACAAATCTGTACTAAACTGGCATGCTTTATATGAAGGATATTGGTTTATTAAAGTAATTCCTGTGGATTGTCAAAAACCGAGAAAAGGTATATGAGAGGTACGAAAGCAGTGTATCCCATGATAACCAGGATTATACTGCTACCATTCTCTAATATTTCTAAAACTGTTTAGATGTAAAAACGGAATGGGTAACGTTAAAATGGTAAAAAAACCGTCCGACGACCACAGAGCACAAAACGTAAGACGACAAGAGAGAAACAAAAGAAAAAAAAAACAGACGTACGCACAGACCACATAATAAGTAAGAACACACAGAGAACAGATTTTACCAGCGTTGTCCGCGGTCAGCTCGGCTCCATCTTCCATATTACTATACTAAGTGACATATAAATCCGAACACCCAGTTTAAATGGTTTTATTTTAATAAAAGTTGGTGAATGTATTTATCTTACTGTAAATAACAAGTGAAAAAATGTTCAGCCTTATCAGTTGGACATTCCGGTTTTTATACTGCTTTTTTTAAATTCACTAACGCTCTAAAAATGAATATTTCAGCCGCAGTAAAGAATCAACTTTGGCGGATTTTGGTTCTTGACATCCTTTACGATCGGTTACGATGCCTAGAGTACGGAGACCTGTACGATTTCGTCAACTTAGTGAGTATGATAGGGGCCGTATAGTGGGACTTCGGGAAGCTGGACTTTCTTTTCGGGCAATTGCAGTTAGAGTGCAAAGAAGTGTAGACACTGTGGTTAGGTGTTGTCAGGCATGGCTTCGAGAAGGCCGTACGCAAAGAGCAAGGGGCACTGGATGCCGCCGTAGAACAACAGACCGTGAAGATCGCCGCCTAAGATTATTGGCCTTAAGGGACCGTTTCTCCACTACCAGGTCCATTGCAAATGAATGGTTTGCAGAACACGGAAGACCTATTGGCATGCGAAGTGTTTACCGACGAATGAGAAGTTTTGGCTTGTTTTCATACCTGCCACACTGGGTCCTCCCTTTAACTCGAGAACACCGACGTAATCGCCTTGAGTGGTGCAGACAACGGTCACTCTGGGATCAGGAATGGAACAGTATTGTCTTTAGTGACGAGTCTCGATTTTGTTTAGGCATGCACGATGGTCGTGCCAGGGTTAGAAGGCGACGTGGTGAAAGGAGGAATCCACAGTTTTTTGTTGAAAGACATGCTCATCACACTGTTGGAGTTATGGTTTGGGGTGCTATAGCTTATGGTTCCAGGTCACCTTTAATCTTCATCAGAGGTAACATGAACGCGCAGCGTTATATCCACGAAGTTCTAGAACCCCATCTTTTACCCTATCTTGACACCCTGGCAGATCCAACTTTCCAACAAGATAATGCCCGACCACATGTTGCAAGAGTCACAATAGACTTCTTTCAACATAATGAAGTCACATTGTTACCATGGCCACCAAGATCTCGCGACTTATCCCCAATTGAGCACGTGTGGGATATGATAGGTAGGAGATTGCTCAATTTGCAACGTCCTCCTCAGACTCTAGAAGCACTTCGAGAGGAGTTGGTGGTTGCCTGGAATGAGATACCACAGGAGGACATTGACCACATGATCAGAAGCATGCCTAGGTGCGTTGGAGAATGCATAGCACATCAGGGTGCATTCACACATTATTAAAGGTCAAAGGGCTTTAAAGCAGTGCAATCATTTTGAAATTTTTATCATTTACTTATTATGCTTCATTAAGTACTTATACAAAATTGTATAAAAATAAAACCATTTAAACTGGGTGTTCGGATTTATATGTCACTTAGTATATATACGATACACTCCTACTGGCAAATAGTATAATGTACAAGTATGGCGAATACAAAAATTCAGAGGAGTTGAAAACTGTTCATATTCCTGACAAATTCCTGACAAGAATGCATTCTTGGCGACGTTCCTGGCAAATGCCAGTAATAACTGACAAGACGACAATACTGAGCACGATGTAAAAATTAGGCACAGGGCAATGTCGCAGCGCAATGGCAGTCGGCCTTTCTGGACGCTGGCCAAGCAGATTGAGGGAACTTCTCGAAGAGCAGTCTTCCACCGCTCACGTGCCAGGATGGAACGATTATAACGCTCACCCGAGTGCCATCGATTCAAAGGGTTCCCTACACGATGCGGGAAGTAACTTTCTGGCATAAGACCGTAATACGGATGCTCTTGTCGCTCGACGTCCACAAGGCTTCTAGTCCGGATTGAAGATATGTGCAGCGGAGCTTGCTCCAATTCTTTCGCGTTCTCTTCCGTCACTTTCACATAAAACTGGAAACTGATATCCATCCTAAAAAGCATCTAAGACGCTTATAACTACCGGCCTATAGTTCTGCTTTCTGTTATAAGTATGGTGATCTAGAGGTGCATAAATTGGGAGATTCTGGAGTACCTTGGACTTCACGGCTTGGTTGTCGACAGGGAGATTGGTTTTCGTCATCAGCGATCCACGTGGTCCTAGCTTACGTCAAGCAACTGTGGAGTAAGCTCGTCCACTCATATGGCGAGGCTCAAGTCATAGCTCTTGATGTCATGAGAGCTAAGTTCCATCCTATAGCCTCCCAAAGAAGCTTTGCAGATGGGTGGCCGACTTCCGCTCTGGCCCCAAAATACCCTGACAAGAGACTTGGACGTTATCACTGCTTAGGGACGTAACAATCTGGTGCAGTTTAATTCTTCCAAAACACAGTATTGTACCTTGACTAACAAGAATCGCCCTAGCACTCATCCGGATTTGATGGATGGCCGAGTTTTACCAAAGAGCCATTCATTTCATCTAGTCATTGAACACCGTTTGACAACAGCAGCAGCTGCTAGGCTTTTGTTCGGAGCTAAGAAGTACTGTTTTCCACATAACCTCTTCACTCTGAACAAGGCCCAGACAAGACCTACCTTCGAACTGCCGTCCGAACTACATTATCCACACTCGATGCTGGAGGGCTGTTCGACTGATCGATGACTCTTTTCTAGCGGATTCTTTCGTACAGACGGGTCGTTGGTGATCTAGATTTCCTCTACCACTATGTCAACGGGCTTTGCTTGCGATATGCCTGCCAGTCTGACGCACCTAACTATGACCTCCCATTCTAACCGTATCGAAAATCGTACATACTGAATTGGCTGTTTCGAGCGCTTCTTTGTCACTACGGTATCGTCATTGTGAAACAACCTACCTGACAAGGCCTATCGCAGTTCTACTAATCTTAGGCAGTAGAATAATCTTATTAACAAAGTTTTCTTAAGCTCTTCATAGCGTGCGCTGGTATTTAGGTTTCTGCCTAAGCGACTGCTTCGTTGTAAAAAATGTATGAACCTACACTTAGAAGTTTGGAGAAATTACCATTGGCCGAAACGAACTTGTTGAAATCCTGGTGTGCACCCTGACACAGATTTGATACCAAATTGTTATGGGTCAGCTCCACGCCCTTTGGCAAACCTGTAGTTCCACTTGAGTATGGCAGAAATGCCATCCTGTCCAAGCCTTCATGATCAAAGTCTGGAATGTCTGTGTTTGTATCCACTAGCTCCCCGAAGTCGATGCATGAACGACACAGGTCATCGCACTCCTGAAAGGAATTTGAAGTACTATGCATTATTACCAAGGATATTTTAGTATGTCTAGTTACAAAAATAACAGCTATACAGCGGGCAGCAATGCTCTATGGTTGTAGTTATCACACTCAGCTTTCGTTTATTTTTTTCTTTGGTAAGGCGAAGGATGTACCTCTAAGGTTTTCATATACCTTTTTATATATGTAATTCGCCTGAGTCACCTCTATCAAATACTAAATGAATTGTTTATGTTATTACTTAGGCGAACGTTACATGGCCAGTCTTTTCTGTGATCCGTAAGTATTTATCATGGAATGTGATATTCATTTACCGTGTAGCCAGGATGTCAGTAATTCTTGATATATAATAATACGTAGTAATTCACTGAGTAAATACTGATGGTGCGGAACTCAGCAAATACTGATCGTGTGACATTTGCCTAAAGATTATCTGGTCCTATCACTAAGTAAAATAGCAAAAGGCGCTTTAACCTATTCACTAGCTCATTAACGTATGTCCTAAAAGTTTTGGCACAAAATTGCTTTAATTTCAACAAACATTTATTTTGAATGTTTCGCTTTAAGATGATGTATAGATTGGAAATAAGAAAAAGTATCTACAAGTTGGATGGCCGGGTACCCAAAGCTGAAATCTACCCCTACTGAGCGGGGCCGTGGCAAATGCTTGTTCCGGAAGTTGTTGTATCCAGTATGCAACTTCTTCCCGTTCTGTATTGTACACGCGTTAAGGAGTACCTCAGTACCAATTGCCGGGTAGCGGTACAAGTCCGCCAACTGGCCACTTTAGGTCTATTTAATATCACTAACACTTAAAAAGAAGGTGGACCAGTCGACCGAGGCGGCACCACCCGCTAGCTTTTCCTAGGGTGTCTTATAAATGTCCACATTTTCCACACCCAAGCTATGTAGTCGGTTATCTCCCAAAACAAAGAAACTAATGATGATGGATCCCTCGAGCACTAAGAACTCCGGACGTAAGCTCACTCCATTCTCGGGTGGAGGGTGGGCTCGAGGGAACAACATCGAAGATAAAATTTGTTTTTCGAACATCTACGGGATTAACAGCAACATTGATGCTGTTCGTCACTACCTGCAATCCAATCGTCCCGACGTGCTTTTCTTGGCAGAGACAAAAATCTCAGAGTCTGCACCGATTAACCATCTTAACTTCCTAAACTACGAGATGCACTCCAATTGGAGAAAGAACGGGGGAGTTGTGGCTTTTGCCCGCAGCAGTATTTCTTGCCCCAGAGATGTTTCTTTGGAATCAGACCGGAAGAACATTCTGTGGCTTCGCCTCAAGTCCAAAACATCACCCAAATTTATTTATCGCTCTCCCTCGAACCATAACTGGGATGACCTACTCGAATACCTCGCCGTCCAGATCGACTTCCTGAACATCAATCACCCCGCTTCAGAGGTAGTTCTTCTCGGTGATTTCAATGCCCATAATGAGCTTTGGTTGAGCTCAAACAAGACCGATGCAGCAGGTCGTACAGTCGAAGCGTTCACGCTAATTCAAGGGCTGTCTCAACTGGTGACGAGCCCTACTTTTTGCCACCTCGTCTCATCACACGCCAGTAGCCTGCTAGATCTCTTTCTGGCCACGCATCCTGTCCCTTACAGCACTGCTGTCCTGTCCCCCCTGGGTAACTCAGACCACGGTGTTGTGGAGGTTAGCGTCCTAGCGCTCATTCGGTTTCCATGGAAGGCCGAGTTCTGCCAAAGGGCCATTCATTTGGACTGGTCGGAGTACAGATCACCAAGGACCTGATCTGGCACGAACACATCTCGTCAATAGCTGCAGCTGCTGGGAAAATCTAGGCTATTTTACAAGGCCCACATAAGGCCTAGACTCGAGTATTGCTCACACGTTGGGGGTGCTGCCGCCCCGACTACATTGTCCATGCTCGATGCTGTCCAGAGGAGGGCGGTCCGACTGATCGATGAATCTTCTCTGACAGACAGTCTCGGGACCATTTCCCACCGGCGGGCCATCGGAGATCTAGCTCTTTTTTACCGCTACACCAACGGGCTTTGCTTCTCAGAGCTCTTCCTTGATGCCGGCGCTATGTGCCTGCCAGATAGACCCGCCTGACTTTGGCGTCCCATCCTAACCGTGTCGAACTTCGTACTTCCAGAACTGGCCGATACGACCGCTCCTTTGTCCCGAGAGTGTCAAGAGGCGTTTCGCAGTTCTACTAACCTTAGGCAGTTTAAAAATCGTATTAACAAAATTTCTTTGGGATCATCATAGCAGCCGCGGTGTTCCGGCATTTACGCTTCTGCCTGTGCGTATGCTTCGATATAAAAAAATAAAAAAATCTGCCGAATACTCCAGAATGAAAACCGAACCATTTAACGAACAATAGTGGAGTGCGAACAAGGAATACCATGTTTGAATCTCCCAAAAAGTGGAAGACCACGTGCATTTACTGCACATATGTCAGAGAGATTGGTCAGAAGAGCTAAAAATCAGGTGGGAATGTCAACAAGGCTCGTCAATACAGATCTTCTAAGAGTACGATATCGTTGGAATTGAGAAGAAATGGACTTAAATATCGAAAGAGACTTAAGTGCCCCAAATGCTCCCAAGCGCAGCTCCTGCGTATACCAAGATGCTGTCATCAACTGAGGCGAGTATACTTTGCCAATGGGAAAATCATTTTAGTTGACGAAAACTATATCACTTTGAGTAATTCCGAAATGAAGGGTAACGACGGATTTTACGCGGACAACGTAGAGGAATGTCCTGACAACGTTAGATACAAACATGAACCGAAATTTGCAGATAAAATTCTTGTCTTGTGCACAATTCCTAACAGGGGTGTACCCCAACCATTTATGTGAAGAGTGAGGCATAAATCTTTGAATAGTCAGTGCTATATTGATAACTGCCTTTCCAAATTGCTTCAGTTTATCCACGAACGTCATGCTCATGACCATATCATGTTTTGGCCAGACCTGGCATCATGCCGTTACTAAAGAGATACCCAAAACTGGATTCGACAACACAATATACCTTTTGTTCCCAAAAATGATAATCCTCCGAAATTGCCGCAGGCTCGCCCAATAGAGGACTTTTGAGCTTTGCTGTCTAGGAAAGTTTATCATGGACGCTGGGAAGCGCAAGATGAAGAACAATTAAGTCGGCGAATTTACGAAAAATTGAGCGAAATTGATCTGAATTCCGTCCTGGGCCTCATGAGAAACATTCGAAGAAAGTTGCGTCTGGGAGAGCGGAATGGGACACTCCACATAATTCGACAGTATAGTTTAGTTAATAATTGAGTTGTAATTTATGGTAACTAGCTAGTGTTTAAGTAAATTTCTTCATTAAAAAAGAATTCGATATATGTATATTTTGTGTCAAAACTTTAGGACAAACGTTAGGCCTGATTTTTATAAATGATGAATAACAATGGAATAGATTACAGGGTGATTCAAAACCACGCGGTGACCCAAACATGAATTTTTTTTAAAAAAGCACTACATTTTATTGCAGATTTGGATACACCTTTTCAAACGAAGCAATATGATATATCATACATAACATACTATAGGGTTCTATTCCAATGAGATATTTGACAACCTATTCAATAAATCACCGAGTTTTGACAACTCGCACCTTCGCAACTGTTATAGCTAGAGTACTGAATTTTTACATGCCTCGAATCATTCTCTGGGCCTTGTTCTGGAACCACTGGATGATGGCAATATTGCTATTACTTGCTGTTGCTAAACAAGGCATTGTAGAGTAATAGCTGTAAGGTGGAGTTGGATGTAATATGACATGTCAGCGTGGGAATTTTATTCTTAAAGACCGCTCGCTAGTGCGTTGCGCTTCTATTTCTACGTTATGAACAAAAAACAATACCTACTATATTTTTATACTCTAGTCATAACTTACCTTGTCCTTGATTACAACAATAGGTAAAGTTCTCTTGGCCATTTTGATAGCAGCTTCAGCAGTACTGGTTAAATTATTCTGGTTCAATGTTATCATTGCTTTAGCGTTAGAGTCCAAAATTTGTTTTGAGATTTCCTCTGGAATAAAGTTACTTAGTGACGACTATAATTCATAACAAAAGGGATATGATTAGAAAAAGAGTAACATAAAATTTCTGTAAACATAACGTATCGGACAAAAGTTTTGAGTAAAAATGTTCACTGAAAGTAAACAAATAAAGGTAAACAATAAAGAAGGTATATACCTTGCATTACTTAGCCGTTTTATCACAAACCAGGGCTATTAGACTTGTAGGTTACGTCATCTAGGTATACATTGATAAATATGTAAACAGATCAACTACCCTAATAGCACACTTGGTTCCTGGAACGTCCTATTTAGATCCAATTTGGGTCGGTAGGTACCGTGCTTTTATTCTTTCCTTGGAACGTCCATTGACGTCGTTCCAGGAACGTTCCAGCTAGTTGGTTCCTTGATGACCTTGGCAACGCATGTTTGTGCTTTGTTTGCTCATCATTAACATACTTACTATTTTAAAAGGCTTTTACAGAAAATTGAATACAGTCACGATATCGATCAATACGGTTAAAACTCTACTGTGGTATATAACAGTTATGTTGTGTCACTTTTAGGTAATCAGGTTTATATTAAAATGCTTAGACAAGTAATATTCTGTCTTAAGGCCGCTGCCCTATGATGCATTTATAGTTTGTTGCCTCTGAGGACATCGAGTGAAGGTAGTTTGTGAACACCCAATTGCTCTTATTGTGAAAACATAAAATAGATCTTCCGATAACACAGCAGCACGAGCTACCGTCTTTATTCAATATTATAGAAGTATGCTTTACTAATGAATTCTTGTTGCAAAATGTATTTATAAAACTGGTAATAACGTTAGTGTAACTGTTTTTGATAATAGGTTCATTACAACTAAGGGTAAACCGAAAATGTGCGATCTCAGAGGCAAAGTTTGATAATAACCAAGTGGTTTGATTTGGACTTCATCTGAAAAGAAAATTCCTCTTCTCAATTTCGCAACTAAACGAAATATTTACAATGATAAGCGCAGAAGTGTGGCGGCCGCCATTTTTTTGCCGTTCTCCCTTTTTCTCCAAAAACGTGGGCTCAAAATACTTTGACTTTATTTTGACTGTTGAATTCCAGTGTACATTCCCAGTTCATAAGCAACAATAAAATATGTTAAACACTTCTAAGGATTTTAATAATACACATTGACATTTTGGTAGTTTGTGAGTGACATGTTGTTGGTCGTCATGTACTTTTTATGAGTTGCACAATGTAGTATTTCCATTATTAGATGTATTTTACGTTTTGCGGTCATGTACTTTGAAAAAATGAAAAGTTTATTGGTCAAATCAAGAGAGGCTGATTAGCCACTTAAGAAATTACATTCTTCTCCATCCTCTCCCTACTGGAATATGGCTCGGGCAGGGCCACTTCCTTAGTTCCCGGATCGTGCTTCCAGGAAGCATTTTTTTTACGATAAAATTGGTTCCCGGGATGCACCTGGAACGTCTTGCGACGTTAGGTGACCTACCGGAAACCTCTTCCAGGTTGCCAAGGTCGTTCCGGTAATCTCTTTGGAGCGTATTTGTGCTATTAGGGAAACTGGTCATGGGTGGAGTTTATTATAAGGTAACATGCTATGGAAAATACACACTACGCGAATCGATCTTGTCCACAGCTGGTACTCGTTCTTGCACACATGAACTGGGTAATAGGGGCTGTTTTTTTGATGGACTTTCTGGTGATACTCGAATTTTACCTTAAACTGTTGACATTGCTCAATAATTATATTTTATTATTTTATTATATTATATAAGATAAAGAATGCACACGTCGTATGCTAAAAAAATAACAGACTTTATTGCAGGAACGAAGAGTGGTTACAAGTATTGAACAAAATCTGTCTGTGCTCTGTGCCTCGATATAATTCTAATCTTTATAGGAAAAATAACAGAGCTGTATCAAAAAAAAGAAGTAAAAAGCAAATATTTCTTAATGGGCTTGCTTGCCATACAATTCAATTTGTTGGAATAATGGGCTTGTACCACATAGTTATGTTACCAACAGGATTCCATAACTTATATTATAAAGATCAACAAGCGGTAAAGGACAGATTTTTCAACCTGACAGTGTCAAGCATAGTTGCAGAGATGTTTTAGAGGCGGTGAGAAAACAAAACAAAAAACATTTGAATGCCTGTGCGCTTACATAAACAAGCGCTTACACTCAAAGGTAGATAACTAACGTGTATGTAGGAGGAAGATGGAGTTATGAAAGTGATACTGGCAGTTGTACTGTGACCTGCCAAATACTGTGAGAACAAAAAAAAACATTAATACCACATTATCGGTATCTTCTAACACCTTGTAATCTCATCAGGGATTATTCAGGATTTGACTGCATTGGAACTTTTCGTGTTAGTTACCAATCATCCAGTCATTTTTTATTCTCTCTGTAGATTACAACACCTCATTTTCTTACCAGCAGTGTAGATGGGATTCATTGTTGTGACTGCCAAACCCGCTTCCATGATTCCAAGGCAGCAAATGGGATATTCAGGAATATTTGGAAGGAAAATTGCAACCACATCGTCTTTTTGCAGCCTCAATTTTTTGACTATAGATTTGCTTAGGTTCCTTGCTTTCACTCGTACCTCTTCGTATGTGTATTTTCTGCCTGTCACCGAACATTCCTAGGATTGATTCACTAATAGAGCATTTTATACATTCACTCAAGCGTAACAGAATAAGATAAGGAGTATCTCCATAATATACAAGGTGTCCCAACCGTGCAAGGACGGAGTATTGCTCCCAAACAAAAATATATAAGAAGACTTATGAATATCAGAGTTGATTTTTCTTAAATGAAATGCCCACAATTTATTACACAATCAGATAGGCAGAACAGGAACCAGATAATACGAGTCCTTTGAGTTTTGCATATGGAAATAAAACAACACGGTAGGTAGTTTTAAATGATTTTATTGTTTTTAGAAGTATTCTCCACGAAGATTAATACACATCTGCATGCGCTCGAACCAATTTTCGAAGCACTTATTCCACTCGTTTGCTGGCAGATCCAAAACGGCATTTTTGAATGCGTCAACTGCTTCTTCTGGTGACTGGAACCTTTGACCACGCAGTCTGTTTTTAATTTTCGGAAAAGTAAAGAAATCGTTAGGACTTAGATCGGGACTATATGGAGGATGGTCCAATAATTCCACGTTTTCTTCCGTTGAATACTGCCTTGATCTTGGGGCTGTGTGCGAGCTTGTATTGTCTTGGTGGAGGATGATTCTTCTTTCGGGGTTGATTTTGCGAAGCTCGGTGATGACTTTTGGCAAACAAATGGTGGTATACCAATCCGCAGTAACAGTTCTTTTCTCATTAAGAGCAATTGTTGTAATCTGACCCGCTTTTGACACAAATATCGCGACCATCTTTTTCGAAACACTTCGAGAACGGATGACTTTTGTTGGCTTTTCTTCACCTTGGAACACCCAAACAGCCGACTGTCGTTTATTTTCAGTAAATCAACGATTCATCACCACTAATAATGCTGTACACATTTTATGAGTTTCCGGAATTGAAGCGGTCAAACGTTTTTTGACACCAATTAACCCTGGCTGCTTTCTGCTCTTTAGTCAACAGGTGGGGTATAAAACGAGAAACTAATTTTCTTACTCCTAATTCTTCATGTAAAAGTTTTTGAACTAGGGTCTTTGAGATCTTCAAGGACGCCTCAATCTCGCGATATGTCACATGTCTATCTTCAATTATGAGTTCGCGCACAGCATCGACGTTTTCCTGGGTGACTGCCGTTTTTGGTGGACCCATCCTGGGATCGTCGCTAAGACTCACCCGTTCACGTTTAAATTTTCCATACCAACGGAAAATTGTCGACTGATCTGGCGCTTCGTTGCCGAAAACAGACAGTAACTCAGCAAGGCATTCTTGTTGCGATAATTGTCTCTGAAAGTTGTAATAAATTATGGCGCCAAAATGTTCTCGGCACGTATTGTTGTGAAACTTTGAATTTAAGTTTACTAAAGAGTGAGGTTAATATTCAGTACTGACGTTCGATCCGGGCGGCCTACTATGTTTCTATATGCAAAACTTAAAAGACATCCCTCGTATACTTATGGGTATTGGATATTTAGTTTTGGCGAATTAAAAAGCATTTTATATAAAAAACATTAAGTTTGATAGCGTTATCGCTATTTGTTTAAACAAAATGGATATTTTTTTATTCAAACGAGTCGCTTCGTTCAAGGAAACTAATAAAGTAAAAGATCATTGACAGTATCACCAAGAAGACATCAATCACCTAATCCAATCAATGGCGCGGCGACTTAACGAATGTGTAGCAAACAGAGGAGCTTCAATACATTAACAATAAGGTGGGATATCCTAGGTATTTTGCGAAATTTCGAGTTAAAATTATGATTACTTTCTATTTATCAGTAGACCTGAAACTTGGAAAAAGTATGCTCAAAATTACAGCACTCCTAGACGGTGTTTCATTTTCTATGTCATTTAGCATATACGTACATTTTACTTTATGTCAAGTTAACCTTGTTAATTTCAAGGACCCTTTAAGGTTATCAAAAGTCTGTTGGCATGATAAAATTGTAGTCACTTGTAGTACAGATGCGTTATTTATCAAGTTTCACTTGAACAAGGTTTATGAAATATTATATTTAACTTTTGTGATACACACTGATAGTCTATCAACACTATTTGACAGTAAAGTGACAAGCTTGCTTGCGGTAATAACATGGTCGCTAAACAGATGACGAAAAAAATACTAGAGGATAAAATTGCTTTCAAAACATGCAGTTTATAGTTTTTATAGTGTCAGAATATGTGAGTCGTTTAAGCTCATATAGAACACAAAACATACTCGTAATGTGACAGAACTCTAGAATTTCTGCCTAATGGAGGTATAAGCCTACTAAAGCTCGCTACTGAACATCGGTTTTTACTTCCGACGCCACTGGCAAGTAATGTTATCGAGAACATTTTCAAAAATAAGATATTATGATTATTTGATGTTATATGACATATACACTACCGTTCAAAAGTATTTGACCACCTGCATATTTCCATTTAAAATCATAACACACAAAAAACACTATACAGTATGTATTTATTTTTTTTTATTTGCTGAAGACCTTCACCATGGAATTTCATCATTAGCCATAATAGAAATTTCTTTGCCTTTAGGATATTGTTATGTTTTTGTATAGGAATTCTTTCTCAGGATTTGTACCTAAACCCATAAAACAGTTTTACTTCAGTTATCTTGTCTCATTTGATAACCTAACCATGCTACAATACCTTATAGTTCTAGTTCAAGGTTGTTTTCGTTTACTTTTTTTGGATAAAATGGGTAAAACTAAAGAATATTCCGAGGAGATAAGAGGAGTTATTATTGGTCTTCTGAAGTCCGGCAACAGTACTCGAGAAATATCTAAACTTCAAAAGAAATTTAAGGCTCAAGGCACAACATCCAATAGCCGTTGTTCAGGGAGACCCAGAGTTACAACAATAGTGAAAAGTAAATGCAATAGACGCATGACTGCACTTGAAATAGCAGCCGACTTGAATTTGGGCCGTAGTAAACCTGTAAGTGTGACTACAGTTAAGAGATGTTAATCGAAGCTCGACTTAAGGGATACATAGCTCAGTATCGAAACCACTCCTCAGGGCTACTAACAAAAAAACAGACTGAATTGAGCCAAATAACATCAAAATTGGACAGTTGCTGACTGGAAGAAGGTCCTTTGGAGCGATGGATCGAAATTTGAAGTTTTTGGTTCCGAGAGAAGAGTATTTCTTCGCCGTCGGCCTAACGAGAGGACATTAGAATCATGAATCGTCGCTTCAGTCAAGCACGGTGGAAGATGGATAATCTGCAGATTGTTTCACAACGTATCCGACAAATTTTATCCACATATATGCACTATTACGAAAGAAGTTGATTTCTAAAAAAAAAATGTAATAAAAGTCCTACAGAAATCGATATAATAAAATAATTCAGTTTAACACTTCACTTACTTATAAAAGCTGCCAAATCCAAATACTGGTGATCATCCACCCGATCTGGCAATATGAATGGTCCAATTAGACGTTCAACGGCAATACCTGCCCACACGTTTAAAGAAAAACAATGTTGCAAGTGTGTCCGGACCGCTGCGTGAGGATTCTCAAAGGACCAAACGTGTGTATTATAAATATTGGTTATCCGATTACGAATAAAAATAGCTTTATCGGTTGCCAAAATATCAGCAAACGGGCATTTCGAGCATTTTCTTGCAACAACCACTCAAAAAATGTTACTCTTAGGAGGTCGGGGTTATAAGTAGCAACAGCTGGACTCTCTGGACGTGAAAGGGTACAGTTGGGCCTCATGTAATATGCGCCACGCTGTTGCATGTGACACTTCTGGGACTTGTTGGGCTAACTGCCTTGTGGGCGAACCTGGGTACAAATCTCCACCAGCACGTGCACGTAAAGCAATTGAACTAAATGTTTCGTGATGTGGTATGTGCCTATTCGGAAATCGGTGAGCATACAAACGAGAAGCCGCTCGCGAATTTTGCCCTGCTTCTCCGAACGCTAAAACAATGTCCACTAACTCCATTGTCATTTTTATGAATCAATGACTAAAACATAAACTCGCTAAGTACCGTCAGAACGGAGTACTTTAGCCCTACGGTGCTACTTAAGCCCAAACTGTTAAAACGTTTTCGCTTTCTGCCATGCCAGCTCATTGCGACGTATCGATGTAGTTCGCCTAGTAATCGATAGATGACTCTATAGTGATATTGGTAGCACATTATCTGGGACTCCCAGCGCATGCGTAGATTAACCATAAACCAAGTTATCAGGTAAGTTGCAGTTCTTTTACGTGATCAAATGTATCAGATATACATCTGAGATGATGTTGGAATACGAAACAAACGGTAAAAGTAATTTTTATGGAGAATATATTCAAATTAATATATCAGTATATTTTGGCCCACGCTTTCGGGTATCTTTGGCCCATGGGCCAAAGTATCCTAATAATGATTTTTCATTATATTTTTACATAACCAGCTATATTAAGCCATTCAATCGGAATAATGCATTACTTTTGACCTTTTAGATACACAAAGATGCCTACCATCTATAGAAGGAAAGCGGGAAATCGTCGTTACATTGACTACACTAAAGAGCAGTTGGAGCAATGTTTAAATGACGTGAGATCCAAGATGCGGACTCAACGGGCTGCTGCAGCTAAGTATAAAATTCCTCGTAGTACGATAAAGAATAAACTGAAGAATAAGCACTGTAACAAACCCGGTCATCCAACTATATTCACAACAGAAGAAGAACAAGCATTTGTTGCCCATTTTACAGCGCTCTCAGAATTTGGGGTTCCGATAACAGATATTGACCTCAAAATGATTATCAAAGACTACTTGTCAGCTCGTGGAAGACAGGTAAAACAGTTTAATAAAAACATGCCTGGCACCGAGTGGGTCAGAGGATTTCTCAAGCGAAACAAGATTCTGTCTAGAAGATTAGCAAATAATATTAAAAAAGTAAGAGCAGCAACTTCAGAGCCAATTATTGAACAGTTTGTTGAAAATTTGACTGTAGAGTTAGACAATATTCCACCAGAGAATATCTACAACTACGATGAAAGTAGCCTTACCGATGACCCCGGAAAAAAGAAAGTAATTTGTAGACGTGGCACAAAGTATCCTGAAATGATTGTAAATGCTACAAAAGTAAGTTTTTCAGTCATGTTTTGTGGGAATGCCGTAGGGGAAACTGTTCCGCCATATGTTATTTTTAAAGCAGAGCATTTGTGGTCTACTTGGACTGAAAATTGACCACACGGAACCCGGTATAATAGAACCAAAAGCGGTTGGATTGATAGTATCACGTTTGAGGACTGGTTCGAATCTCATTTACTGCCAATTTTAAAGAAAAAAGATGGCCGCAAAGTGATTATCGGTGACAACTTGTCCTCCCATATAAACAAAAATGTGTTAGCAGCATGCGAGGCCAACAACATCAGTTTTATCTGTTTACCTGCCAATGCAACTCATATTCTTCAGCCACTTGATGTGGCATATTTCAGACCATTGAAGATTAAATGGCGTCAAGTCTTGCTAGATTGGAAAAATACCCCAGAAGGAAGAAGACTTCCAACCGTGCCGAATGATCAATTTCCTAGACTACTAAAAACTGCACTGGATAGCATGAAAGAAACCCAAAGTTATCTCGTAAACGGGTTCAGGAAAACTGGCATTTATCCTCAGAACGTAGAAGAACCTTTGAGTAGATTGCCAAGGCAAGACAGAATTGTAGATCTCAATCTAATTTCCGGCGCTTTTATGCAAAATCTGAAGCAATTACGGAGTAACGATAGCCCAAACCGAAAGAATCAAGGCAAGAAGAAAAAGCTAGATGTACCTGCTGGTCGATCCATTCGCTCAGATGATATTTCAGACAGAGAACAAGCTAGTTCTTCAGGAGTAAGTAGATCAGATCCTAAGAAAAATGCACAGTCCTGGAAGCGATTGATTAGTGAGGTTTCCTCTTCAGAATGCAGTGACACAGACATAAGCTTGGCATCTTCTACTGAAGATCTCATTCTGGCACGAGATCAATCTGATGATGAAGAGGACAACTTACGCCTAGCACAGCTTACAAATCGCAATCCCAGAAGCAACTATGATGGAAATCTGGAGGCGCTTGGGCCATCAACTCAGCTACCAGAGCCCATTCCTCCGGATTGCAACACAAGGTTTATTTATTTAAGAAACTGTTCGAAGTCTGACGGTCAAAGTTGCAGTAATGAAGACGGAAATAAACAAGGGCCGCCTCTGCCAAATAAAATTAATCCAGATGATGTACAAAATGCGGAAGAGGAATATCAAATTGGCGATGGTTACTGTATCAATGACCATGTATTGGTTAAGTGGAATTCACGTGTTTATCCAGGGAAAATTATATCGATATCTGCAGAAGGAGCGCTAATAAGTTGTATGAAAAAACGAAAGTTCTGGAGATGGCCTAACATAAAAGATGAGCAATTATACGCTTGGGAGTCAGTGATAACGAAGATTGGAGTACCAAAATTCGTGAAAAATGGACAATTTACTGTACCTGAACTTGATAAAATACGTTCTTTATAAATTAAGCAATAATTTAATTGATTAATTTGAATATGTGTTGACAAGATTCTCAATTTTGAAGACTGATGAGCAACTCTAGACTGTTAAGTTCCTACCTCTTGTTTACTTCACTATTGTAATAACTGAGAGATGTTTTGTTTTTATTTTTAGTATTGAGGTTCTTCTAGTAAATGTATTTCGTAATAAGAGAGAAGACTGCCTGATTTTGTTAAAATAAATAAGAAAAAGTCATGTGCTGGAAATATTTTTAATTTTTGTGACTTTTTTTAGTTTTTTTGTGCAATAAAAAGTGCCTAACAATAATATAATATGACTTTCTTTCATATTTGCCGATATATACTGTTTACTTTGCTCCACCATTAAATATCAATACGTTGTAATACTTAAAAACCAAGTGGGTCAAAGAAACCATCTCTTAAGTAAAACTTTGGCCCTAACTAAAAAAAAAATTATGTCTAACCCCAAAGTTATATCAGCGACTATAAATGTGTTATTTATATCCCTACTAAACATTTGTCTAAATAACACAAACATAGCATCTTTAAAACTGAAGTAATTGTAAGGGCAATAAAAAATATCATTATTTTGGGACAAAGTACCCCGACCTTGAGGTACTTTCTAATTTAACTTCACAAAAATCAACCGTTCTTCATTCAGAGCACCCACGATACAGACTTATTTACACGTTCGTATGAGTAATGAAAAAATTCCTGGTACTTTGTTTTCGTCAATTGTTTGGTACAACATCTGCTACAATAAATTATTAATGCGTTTTCTAATATCACGACGATTAACGCAAAATACAGATATTTATTTTTCAATTTATTATTGAAACTCAAGTTTATAACTTAATTTCTGTAGGACTTTTATTACATTTTTTTCAGAAATTAACTTCCTTCGTAACAGTGCATATGTGGTTAAAATTTGTCGGATAAGTTGTGAAACACCCTGTACCTATCCGTGTGAAAATTTCATACAAATCCGAGCAGCACCTTCCAAGCTATAAGCAGTCCAAAGATTAGCGAACAGAGCGACAGGCAGACAGATAGACCGACGGAAATGAGTGTTATGGTTTGGGTAGAGTATAACATCAAAAAACATAATATTTCATTTTCGATAACAACAATTTCTCACTAGTACAGCGAGGGGAAACGAAAAGAAAAATAATAACTTTTCATAATTATTATGTCTGGGCATTTAAGGAGATACTTATGCTAACTTACTGTGAAAGTGTATTTGTGGAACGGCTCGATTTTCGCATAAATATACTGATGAACAGGTATCCTGGGTACTTCCACATCCTCGCGATCGCTATACAGTATGTTCGGATGCGCTACTGCTTGTGACAGCTCTCTTAAGCCGCTCAGTGCTTGCTTGAGAACCCGCGTAGGTTTTCGACTAAGTATCACGCGCCAAAAGCCCATTTTTCGGGAAGGAATGGTACCAAGTCGTACTTGGCCTAAGGAGACGCGGGTCAGAATGAGAATGCGATGACAGTTCGAAGGGTACTAGTGATTGCGGCAAGTATAGACGATTGCAATTTATCTCTCGTCGCACAGGTTCCATGGGTGGGTAGGTTACAAGGTTACAGTATGACAGTAAGTAATCTATATTTGTGTGTTAATAAATTCGCTCACCGAAAATATCTTTGTAATGTAAATTCTTGTAGCTGTTGTAGTCAAGGTTGAAAAAACTATCAACTCTAGTACTGATCAGTCAGTTCCAACGAATTTGAATAGATTAGGAGTCAATTCTACAGGGTGTTTCACAATTTATCCGACAAATTTTAACCACATATGCACTGTTACGAAAGAAGTTGATTTCTCAAAAAAAAAATGTAATAAAAGTCCTACAGAAATTAAGTTATAAACCTGAGTTTCGATAATAAATTGAAAAATAAATATCTCTATTTTGCGTTCATCGCCGTGATATTAGAAAACGCATTAATAATTTATTGTAGTAAATGTACCAAACAACTGGCGAAAACAAAATACCAGGATTTTTTTGTTTTTTCATACTGATCAGAACGTGTAAACAAGGTTTAACCTGTATCGTGGATGATCTGAATGAAGAACGGTCGATATTTGTTGTTAGTTATTTATTAATAAAAATGGCAGATATGTACACTAATGAGGAGCTGGTGGACATTGTTTTAGCGTACGGAGAAGAAGGGCAAAATTCACGAGCGGCTTCTCGTCTGAATCAGGTATACCAGATGCGCTGTATCGGAAGGGGTGGACCAGTTGCATATCCTCCACGGTTTCTCGATCTAAATCCTCTGGACTTCTTTTTATGGGGATACTTGAAAGCGAGATATACCGTACTCCAGTTCAGAATATTGAAGAATTGCGTGATCGATAATTTAAGCCTTCAGGCACAGCAGGAAGGAGGTGTATTTGAATTAGTGCGCCGAAATTGGCTTAGACGAGTCCAAGCTTGCTTTGCAGTCAATTTTGTCAATTTTGAACAGTTTTTATAAGTAAGTGAACTGTTAAACTGTATTATTTTGTTATCTCGATTTCTGTAGGACTTTTAATACATTTTTTTGAGAAATCAACTTCTTTCGTAACAGTGCATATGTGGTTAAGATTTGTCGGATAAGTTGTGAAACATCCTGTATATGTCGACATTGCATTGTTTATCGCCAGTGCATACTTTTAAAAAATCAATACATCGTCTTACATTCTTTTCTCAAGACAGGATATTCAAGCAGTAATTCGTAATGGGTGTACCCACTTAGAGCAAGTAAGAAATACTGCCTGTATTGCGATGTGAATTGCTCAGTTATTGTTAATAACTGAATCAGGCAAATAAGTTAAAGTAAATATTCATTAACGGTACAGAATCTGAACAATTCTGCTTAATTCGTCATTTTGGAAGGTGAACAATACTAAACATTCTCTCCATCAAACAGTAACAATGGTGGAATACCTGATGTTGTAAACAGTGAGACACCTTGCTTGAATTCTGTGCGCTTTTCATGAATGTTGTCGTGATCCGAGCAGATTCTTGGCTAAAAGCAAATACCAGATTTGTAAGTATTTTAATCAATTTGATATTTATACTTCGTTTGGCGTACTTCCTGCAGTAAAATGAGATCGTAAAATTATTATATATAACTCGAAAGTACCTTTCATAAGAACATTTAGATTCAAAATTTTAGTCAATAAAGCTAATTATCAGTTGAAGTTTTTATATTTTGCATTTTTCAATGTATTGTTAGATATATGTTAACAAACCTTAGATTGGGACTGAGTGCTCAATGGAACAAAAAGCGAAATGAAATAAAGCAAAACTACCTCACAACTGTCCAGCCAACAGCTCAATGCTGTGGTACATATACTACCCTATAATAATAACACTTATCGATAAAAAGATTTGCACTTCTTCAGTTTAAACTGCTTTTGCAATTCTCAGCACCTTTCACCATATCCGGTAACTGTCACGGATACTACGATTGTTGGGAATAAATTTATATATTGTCTGAGAAAAATACGAATCTAATGTAAAATGGCAACAACTCTCAAGCCAGCAGCCCGATCGACCTGTAGTATGAACTTGCATCTTGAATACTGACTACACAATTTTGATTATAGAAAAATCGTAGAGCTACTTAATCCTTCTACCTAGTCCGAATTCGTTGACCAGTACAAATAACTGCACCCTTTAACTATTAGCCATACCATTATTTGAACATAGCATACAACTCTTTTATTTGATTTAGTTAATTGGATACCAATGGATACGTTTATTAAATCTCAGCAACTGACGTATCTAGAGTATCTCTTAGCTCAGGTGTGAATGTCATAAAAGGGAGCTGACAATAACTCATTATGAAGATAACATGCTAAAGCGTACTCCAGCACGGGTATTACGTAACTTAAAAAGTGACATTTTGTCAGTTTTTCTACAAGATATTAACTTAGCATAAGCTGTTGTACACTTGTTGTGAACTCGTTTTGCATCTGTACTTGTTGCCTAAACGTCAGAGAATAGCAATCATAGCGAGTAAACGTGGAATGAACTATTTGCACACTAAATACTACTTAGTCTGCAAGATAATATTTTGGCGGACTTTTTGACGTTTTCTTTTTAGGTTTTTTACATAACACCGCTGCCGGACTCCTATTTTCACTTCCATGGGGAACAGTCTTGTGAATGCATCGTTTTCCGGCAAAATAATGTGATCTTGGGTTCTTCCTATTGTAACGGAAGCACTGCTTTTATGATACTATCCAAAGTCTAATTTGCTACACCAATTATAACACACAACTAATTTATAACAAATTGATAACTATCTCGACCGGACTATTACTCCATTTTATCTCCACTGACTCGACTGTGCCTATAGATTTGATATTTACTCCCCTACCGACAAGTTGAGAACCATTCCAGCGTTTTCCATGACGAGCCACGGTGGTAGTAGATTTATCTGGAACCTCGGCAAAAACTTATTGACTGAGCGTCGACCCTGTCGAGCTGTCCAATTGCCACTCAACGGTATAGTTACTTCGTATTTTGAGGTCAGATTGATGGAAGACGAGACTTCCATATTTTTCCTCCTGAGAATGACTTGCGGAACGACTGTTCCATCAGTGTCCATGAATACAATTTTCCCAAAGGTAAGAGAAGCATGCTCAGTTCCTCACAGCCATTCTACTCCATCGTGTCAATAATTAGTCCTCAGAAAGCGTTTTGGACTGTTCTCATTAAATCTCTTGAACAAACACCTCTTGGGAATATTTCTGATGACCCTGTAAGTAATATCCCAATGATTTTCTTCATAGAAACATTGTTTGTGGTTTTGTCAATTTCAGAAGTTACCCCTGCTATGCCCACTTGCTACGTCTATGACGTAATCACTTAATATTTTAATTACAACAATTACAAACAAATTACAAAAGACTGTACTGCGCGCAGAGATATACTCAATTTGCCTTTGCTTTGTAAACAATCAAGACATATATTTAGTCTTGATACGGGATTTTATAATGAATGCTTGCAGTTATAAAATTATAGTTTTTTGTTATGGAATTCGATAAATTTTATCTTCGACAATTTTTCGACTTTGAACCGTATCAGCTGTTTGTGTCATAACCAATCGAAGATTCTAAAAATAATCTTGTCCCTATCTGTAAAAAGATAGCGTAGTTTTTTTAACTGGAACGTTTGAGGGGAAATTTTTCGAACAGGTCAAGGGGTGCAGTAGAAATTCCACAAACATTGTTTATTTCTGTTCGAATATTTTTTGTGATTCTGCTGCTACTGCGAATGCTACAAAAAAGCTGGAACTGATTTTTGAATGAATGAGAAGTAGAAGCCTGGTGGGTTCGCTTGACATGGGGTGAGGGCTGTAGGAGGTGTGTGATTACATTTTTGATCCTTGGTATCAGTGAAAGACGTTCTATTATTAAAAAGCTTCTGATCTCGGTAATACTCAGCACCTATCAGACAAATTCTTGCCAATCCATTCACAGCTACAGGTCTCGAGTTTCGGTATCTGCGCGACGACCCGATGACACCAGTAAATCCCTTCACGGATGGGCAGACATTCCAGTGACAGCGTTAGGAATATTTGACATATAGTCAACGCCAAACAAAGTGGCGTGCACGTCATCACGATAAAAATTCCCCGACCTAATGCCTAGGTTTCTATCACAAACAATTGCTCTATTGCAGTTTCATATTAATGTGATATATAAATTGTAAAATGGTCATTACTCTCTTATTATGGTTAATAGTCATATAAACATTGTTATTAAAATATCACATAAGTTGCTTTCTGATAAATTTAGACGCATTATGCGAAATAAAATGTTTTGCAAACGCTCCAATCACTTATCGACATGTAAACGCACTAAACCGATTTCGCAGCGTTGACACATTGTCACCTTGAAACTTATTTAAACTGGGAACTGACATTTGTATTAATTTTGACACTGAATCAATTTGTGGCATTTCAAATCTTTATAAATCCTTTGGCCCCGCATACTGTAAATCAACAACTGTTTGTTTCAAAACAAAATTATTCATTTTACGAGTAGATAAAGGCAATTTTGGTATATAAAGATGCCCAAACAGTTAACTAGTCGGTGTAAGGAACTCGTGGCCTCGTTAATGCATTACTTTGAGCAAGAAAGGGACAACAACGGGCCTTTGTTGCCTTTAAATGCTGTTCAAGAGGTAGGTTACTAATAATTATATGTAATGTATATTAATAATAGTGAAATTTTATTTCATTTTTTGTAGCGTGTTGCTGCTGCTTTAAAAATTAGTTTAAGGACAGTTAGTCGTATTTCCGAGGGTGTGAAAAGTGATGCAAATTTAGAATCGCCCAAGAAAAAGCGGAGTTATATTAAACGTGTAACCAACACAGCGACATTGGATACAAGTGCCATTCGAGAAGTGATCTATAATATGTATCACAAAAGTAAGATCTTATTATAATATCTTATCAGAAATTTGCATTAATTTGTTAACTAAATTATAATGTCATATTACACATGGTTTCAGAAGAACAAGTTACGATACAAACTTTATGGTCTCGATTAAGAGAT